CACACTTTTTTAGACTAATCATTTCAGCTCTAAACATATTGGAAGTTGAGAACCAGTGACATTTATTATTTTGATTCAATACTTTGACACCTGCACACATGGTACATGTTCTTTAGAGGTGCAGTAACTAAGATTTTACACACTGTATGATAAATAGGGCAGGATGTGGCATCTCTCAGCTATACTATCTCTTTATTCTTCTTCTTTCGGCTGTTCCCATTAGGAGTCACCACAGCGAATCATCTGTTTCCACCTAACTCTATCCTCGGCATCCTCTACTCTCACCCCAGTTAACTTCATGTCCTCTTTTAGCACATCCATATATCTCCTCTTTGGCCTTCCTCTTGACCTCTTGCCTGGCAGCTCCATCTCCAACATCCTTCTACCAATATAACCACTATCCCTCCTCTGCACATACTCCGGTCCATGGAGCTCTTCGATCCAATAGAGCAGGAACTGCCTCCAATAGAGATGAGATTTTACTTCTTCATCTCTTGTTTAGAATGAAGCAGATGAGCCCCTTGCAGGAGGACAACATTCCCTCAGGTTTTGCATAAATCACATGCACAGAGACTACACTGGTTATTGGATAGAGAATGAGATCTCACAAAATCTCATTCTATTGTCCCTCTTAACTACTGTATGTAGCCATTATAATAGGTAGAAGGATGAAAACAGCTGCTTCCATTCCAGCCATGGCCCCAGTCATCGGGTACATAGATGGATGGCTGAGAATGGTTGGTCTGGATTCTCACCACAGGGTGTCCGTTATCTAATCTGCACATACAGTATCAAATTAGAACACCAATATATTTATTCCATTCCTCTTTGAATGATTAAATCTCAGAAACCAGCTGAGGCCTCAAGAATGATTAATGTACCCAGGCTGAAATGAGAGTGCCTCTGATAGTGAGATAATGAGAAAAGGAAAGAAGACAAGGAAGCACAAAGAGATTATTTATTCAAATGCAAAAGAACAGGCCGAAACACAGGTATCCTAAATTAGTGTTAACCATCTTGAATTCATAGCATGGATCACTGCAGTTGTTCAACTTTTACTGGTCATCTTATTCAGCTTGGGGACTGCTGATGGAAATGTCCTTCATTTAAACAACTCTCATTACGAGTGAAATAATGAAATTGGTAGTAAGACTTGAAATTACATTTACTACAAAAGTAAGCACAGAGAAGGCATGGCAGTAAAGGTTTACAGCTAAGTTCATTTGCTGTGCTGTACTGTAAGTCCTGCAGCCTAGAGAGCATAAGTGCACTTTTCAATCTCTTCATAGTTACAGCTGCACAGTGAACATTAGCTGGAGGCAGCTGAACATATAGTATATAACAAAACTCAGTACACCCCTGTACCATATCACTACAACCTTAAATGATTCAAAACTGTACCATCTTATTTTGTCTTATTTGATATGTAATAAAAAAAAAACTGGCTAAACAGACTAAATACATATGGGCCTCAACATGTCAATGTGATCATTGTGATTATTGCAACAAAAGGCAATTTACCTGTGACTGCTGCAACACAAACAATTGTGCCTGTGATTTCCAAACCATTTTCCATTCTTTATTAAAAATAGGGTGTCGTGTCCAATAACATCACTGATGACAGTGCTCAGAGTGAACCAAAACAGCAAAGTTGTGGACTATAGAATGAAAACAGTGAAGGATGCTAAAAGCCCAGCTGTAAGGAGAACTTCAGAGTCCAATGACAAACTAATTCTCATTCAAAAATATGAGCATCACCTTTCTCATTTTGCTGCCCTCATTACTGTAGCTTTAAATCTGCAATAATGGCCTTTTTCACTGCCTGGGGACTCAATATTGACATATCTTCACCTTTTAAGTTGAATTTGTGAACCTGTCAGCAAGCAGTTGCTTATTTACACACCCAGCAGTTACAGAGCATTATTGCCATTTGGAGTCACGTGTCTGGTCATCAGGTCCAATATATACAGTACTTTCTTTTAGCTCTGTTTTTGGTCTCCACCAACTCCAAAATATCTGATTCTTAATCTACGAACTGCTTGAGTATGTTCACCAGTTAGCTGCTAGCACCAAGCCTCGTCCACAAACAGTGTGTACACACAATTCTGTGCTGAAACCGTGTATACAAACAATTTATGCACAATTTTATTCAATATTCTGTATCAATATTTTCTTACCTTAATTTGTTCATACTCTGTGAACAAATTTAATACTGCCTCACCCCATGTGTATGAACAAATGATGAAGGCCTGGCTGGCTAAAAAATGCAAACACATTTTAACTGAAACTATATTAATTAAAAAGGTTTTAATAGCTAATATAATTGATTAATATAATTTAAGGCTATAATGATTAATTTACTAATGCATTGACCAAATGTAGCATATTAAATAAACATGAAATTAATGCCCTGTCATTCTGATTAATCACAGTTTTAATTGAAATAAATTAAATTTAAAAAACTGTTCTAGTTTATAAGTATATAGAGAAATGGGGGCATGGCAGCAGGCTACTTGAAAACCACTGGAATGCGCCTGTCATTTTAGAATGATTCTGATTTACACTAACATACACACAATAGAAAGAACAAAATTGGCTGGTGTCATGAATATGATGGTAATGTCTCCTGCACTTATTTTGTGCACAAGGTAAGAACATTTCTATGCGCATGTTAGTGAATAAGGTCCACTGCCTGTCTGCCGTTTGGTGTTTACAGTCTTATGCAAAAGTTTAGGCACCCCTTGATACATAACAGATTTTGGTGATTTTTTATTTGAACAGATGTTAACACAGTTTCTCTTGGAAATGGAAAAAATGCACAATATTTTCTGCAAACAGTGATGCATAGTTACTTCTTATGCCATAAATTGAACAAAAATAAAAAATAAAAACATTATTATGGCATGGTGCAAAAGTTTGGGCACCCTACACAATCAGTACTTAGTAACACCTCCTCTGGCAGATATCACAGCTTGCAAACGCTTTTCATAGCCAGCTAAAAGTCTTTCAATTCTTGTACTTGGGATCTTCTCCCATTCTTCCTTGCAAAAGGCTTCTAGTTCTGTAATATTCTTTGGTCGTCTTGCATGCACAGCTCTTTTAAGATCTACCCACAAATTTTCAATGATGTTTAAATCAGGGGACTGTGATGGCCATTCCAAAACCTTCAGCCTGCGTCTCTTGAGGTATTCCATAGTGGATTTCGAGGTATGTTTAGGATCATTGTCCTGTTGTAGAAGCCATCCTCTTTTCAGCTTCAGCTTTTTTACAGATGGTGTGATGTTTGCTTCCAGAATTTGCTGGTATTTAGTGGAATCCATTCTTCCCTCCACCCGTGCAATGTTTCCTGTGCCACTGGCTGCAACACAACCCCAGAGCATGATAGATCCACCCCCATGCTTAATAGTTGGCAAGGTGTTCTTTTCATGAAATGCTGCTCCTTTTTTTCTCCAAACATGCCTTTGCTGATTGTGTCCAAAGAGTTCTATTTTAACTTCATCAGTCCACAGCACTTGTTTCCAAAACGCATCGGGCTTCTGTAGATGTCCTGTTGCATACTTCAGACGTTGGATTTTATGATGGGGACGCAGATAAGGTTTTCTTCTGCTGACTCTTCCATGAAGGCCTTGTCTGTGCAAGCATCGCTGCACAGTGGAACGGTGCACCACCACTCCTGAGTCTGCTAAATCTTCCTGCAGGTTTTTTGCAGTCAAATGGGGGTTTTGATTTGTCTTTCTGACCAGCATACGAGCAGTTCTGTCCGAGAGTTTTCTTGGTCTTCCAGATCTCATCTTGACCTCCACAGTTCCCCTGATCTGCCATCTCTTAATTACATTTCTTACTGTGGAAACTGCAAGCTGACAACGCTTTGCTATCTTCTTGTAGCCTTCTCCTGCATTGTGGGCATCAATAACTTTCATTTTCAGGGTCTTACACAGCTGCTTAGAGGAACCCATGGTTGCTGGGTGTCCACAAGTGTGTGCACAAGGTTTGAAGAGTCAAGGTATTTGTACAGCTTTGAAATTGGCATTTACCAATGACAGCTGTTGCTGTGCATCAGATCTAATGAGCTGATTAAGGTCTGAAACCTTGTGAGAGACTTTGAGACTCTGGAACTCTTAGGGTGCCCAAACTTTTGCACCATGCCATAATAATGTTTTTATTTTTTATTTTTGTTCAATTTATGGCATAAGAAGTAACTATGCATCACTGTTTGCAGAAAATATTGTGCATTTTTTCCATTTCCAAGAGAAACTGTGTTAACATCTGTTCAAATAAAAAATCACCAAAATCTGTTATTTATCAAGGGGTGCCTAAACTTTTACATGAGACTGTATTAACCTTACTTGGTATCTGTGCGGTGAGTGTTAATATACATGTTAGTTACAAGTGTCCCTAGAAAAAAAAATAAGGGGTCACCAGATACTTCTGTTACACAAACAGGTGGCTGTGGCTCATGAGGTGACCAGCAAGTTGGTGGTTTGACTCCCGGTCTCCCCGAATGCCTAAGTGTCTCTGAGCAATTAACCTTACTTGGTATCTGTGCGGTGAGTGTTAATATACATGTTGTGTGTAAATGGGTGAATGGTGTATGATCTTCTGTAAAGTGCTTTGGCCAGTGCAACACACTGTGAGAAAGCGCTATATAAAATACAGTCCATTTACAAAAGAATGTATATTTTTCATGTTTGTGGTAGTTTTCTGCTGTTTCTAGTTGTATATGAACATTTCCGCTTGTAAAGCCTCTAAAAATCCTTAACAGTTAAAGAAGAAGAATCTCTACTTGGTTGAACCTCTGTTCACACTGAGACCATAAGCAACATGTAGTGAGGGGTCATAGTAAGACTTTACTTATTGGATGTGCCAGAAAGGTTGGGAACTGCAGTTTTATCATGCTAGAGTTATGATGGTGTACATGGAGCCTAAATGAAGATTCCACCACTCAGGGTTAAGTTCATACAGTCACATAACAAAAAAAGGACACCAGGACAAAAGCGATATTGCTAGGCAAAGAATTTATAAATTAATAGAAACATTCCCTTTGTAGTGTTCTGACAGCTTTCCCCCACTTTTGTGATGATTTCAAAATATAGAAAAATATGACAACATTCATCAGTACATCAACTTAACACAATTTTCATTCTGTTCTGTTGGTTTTCCTCATAACTGCCTTTCTGACCCATTTCCCTTTACAGTATTTACACATTATCTTTTCTTCTTCAAACAGGGGACATTACAGCATGTTTTGCATAGATCACAGGGGAGAAATCAAACTTAGAAGCCAAAGCTTTCAAAAAGAAGAGTGAGAAGACACTGTACGTCCTGTGGTAAGCATTACAAATCAACTACAAATTATTACAAGTCAATGTCAAACATGGCACAAAGTGTACATGTGTGAGAATATTGGCTATAAGAACCAATTGTAATTAGAAAGCGAGTCCTTTGAACGCACAGTGTGAAACAGTGAAAACTGTTGGACTAGTAATATTCTCAGTCAAACTCACTTGGAGAAATAGTCTAACCACACACACACACATGCAACTGAAACATGTTGCAAAGTGGAACCCTAATGTGACACGCTGCTTCAATCTGTTGCTGCTGTCAGTTTCAATATACATGTCTGTTTTAGCTAATTTGATGTTTTGTTGGGGCAGAGCAACAGCAAGTCTTAACCCAGGCTGAAACAAAAGGCCATGCTATATTTCCAAGTCAAATGAAAGTCAGTGACAGTTGAACACTTGCTGTCTGCATGTATCCTCTAACATACAAAACATAGAAACTCAAGACTTGACATGCTCTCAGTTTAACCAACATGTCGGCTGTAGTGTTTAAATACTGTACAACTGTCTAAAATGCAGACAGCAAAAAGTGACATTACTCAATTTTTGAAGCTTAGTTCTGGGTTTCTCACTCGTCGCCATCTTTGTCAGTTAACAGTCAAAAAAAAAAATCATGTAACCAAACAAAGATAAATGGAGTCTAGTAGAGCTGAAGTTAACTTGGCAAGGTGCAACCACCACGGCTGAGACGCCTGTTTATCAAGCCAACACAATGAAAAACATAAGATTGACATTTTGAGCCCTAAGTTGTTGTGTAACTATTTTTAAGTTGGTTTCTTTTTTCCTTTTCCAAATCTGGTGGCCATTAGAGGAAGTGCAGTTAAATACATTTATGCATTAGCTTCAGGATCTAGCTGTGGTAGCTGCTGCATTCTTAAAATCAGACAGCTCTTTCTCCAGTGTATATTTAAGTCAGTATTTGTGTGTTTCAAACTGACTGTCCATGATTCCCAATGGTGTCCTCACAACTGGAGGGCAGAGGAAGCCATTTGCTGCTGTTCATCTTTTAAGGAGTATGAAAAGCCACTTCCATAAAGCTAGGTAATCCACCACACTAACCATGAGGTCTTCATTGTATTTTACAAACTCCCTGTTTTATTTCACTGTGTGGGTTGTGTTGTGCACTATACTGTTATTTGCTTACAGTCATCTGACAACTTCAGGAAGAAGCCAAAGTCCCTGGTAGGAAATAATCCCTTATAAAACAGCCCATTACAAATTCTGTCAAATCAAAGGCAGGCAGGCATAAAAAAACCAAACAAACAAATATTAAGCAATGGAAAATGACTGGAGGAAGTGCACACAGGTGGGCCGAAAACCCACATCACAAAAAATTCAAGCACAGAGGACCTAGCAACTCAGGTTTACCGAACAGCTTTAAAGTTAGGGCTGAACCTTAAAAACACATCCTGCCCTGTAAAACAACAGACAGACTTATCATGTAATTAATAGTTCAGGTTTATTACGGCTTGGTTCTTATTTTCATACTGTAGGTTTGGCCGGCGGTTCTGTCCTCTCACTAAATTGCAGCACCAGTGAATTGGTGAGTACAGCTTTATCCATCCCTTAATGTTTGCCTTGCATTTGGCCATTTCACTTTTACAGTTAACTCGATTACGCTGGGGATTGGCATCGTTTTTGTGGGATCATTTGAAAGCACTTTGTGTTTGAAAAGTGCTACATGAACAAGGTTTACGGCAGTGTTCATATTGTGTACCATAAAACTGTCTGATTGCTTCAATAGAGAGACGTGAGTGATTGTCTTTGGTGTCTGTGGATGTAGCACTGAAACTACTTAGTGTAATGACGGTACTGAGAAATGGAGCATTAACTGTGATGCTCAAAATATGACCTAAAAGAAGCGATTGTAAAAATAGGCTTGTTTAAAAACTACAATCTTGAGCGCAAAAGTCATGGAACCTGGTGAGCAGTGAGACCTTCTGGTCTGTTTCTGTACAAAGGAGGCATTAATGTGAACGCTGATGTGCAGCAGACTGGGTGAAGAGATGGACAGACAGGTGGCAGTGAGTAAAAACAGAAGTGATTTCTTCTGCCAGTATAATTGGCATAGTGCAAACATTCAGCGTGAAATGTGTTCTTGTCGCCGCTGCCGGCTGACGACTCCCTAAGCACTAAAACCTACTGTGTGGAAGCTAGTTTAGGCTCAGCACTGTCGAACAAACTAGACACCTTACTCTACATTATTTAATTACTGGTTAATTCTAAACCTGACTTTAATTGGCATGCAGAACCTGTAGTAAGTATTTAAAAAACAAATGGGTGGTATTAGGAAATGTCTAGAAACTTCATAGAAAAGTGAGTTACAGCAGGGATGTACTACATTTCCACTAAGATGAAAGCTGAGACGTTGCTTAGAATATGAAAGTTATTTTAAAAAATGTGACCTTCACTTTTATAAGAGACTTTGCAGGATGTCGGGAGGTTTCTCTACTGCTAAACATAGAGAATGGTTAGTGTGTGTACAAAAACCAAATTATTTACAATGCAGTCATACAGGTAGTGCTTCATTTTACAGGTTCAACTTTCTGAGGAGTTTACAGAAAAGAATCTAGAAAATTAGTAAGAAATAATGGCCCTTAAAGAAAACTAGCAGAAAGCAACGACTCCAAACCTCAAAAGGCTGCTCAACAAATTAACACTGGCTGCAACATTAAACCTCAGGCGCAAGAAGATAAATTAAATGCTGATCCCTGCACTGCCACTAACTCCTCCACTTTTATCCTTGGTACCTAACAATGAAATGATGACATGGTTGCCATTAAGCTAATAAAATGGGTGTTTGTGTCAAAAAAAAAAAATAGCAGCATGTTAAGTTCTTAGATGAACAGTTATATGTTCAATTTGCTCTGACTCACAGGTTGAAGCTGACTAAAACGCAAATGGAAAAACTGAAGTGGGGACCGGTTCTTACAAGGTCACAGCTCGAATGAAGATCTGTTTAAAGAAAAATCAGTGAATTCCTCATGAGGACCTTTTCCAACTGTCAGTTCAAGGTAAGTGAAAATAACGCCAACGCTCCCTGGAGAAACATTCCTTCCCTTCTCTCCTTTTCCTTGCAGAATCTCAGCTCCCTTCAAATGACACTAAAGAGATCAATTGTAAAGCAGTGCTGTCTCTTCAATCTCACAGTGTCTTGTGGCAACAGCTCAGTGGCTTACTGATGACCAGGATAGCTGGAGTCATTCTTTTAAAATGAACTCGGGTACACAGCGACAGATATGCCTGATATGTCTACAAAATGGCGCAAATGTGAAAGACAAACAGGTCTAACAAAATATTAAAAAATGGCATTAATTCCTCAAGCTCTTCCAGTACATCTGTGGTTGCCATGCTGATTAACAGAAAGACGTTGTAGCGCCACTCTCCTGTTTATGTCCTACTCATTAATAACTAGGCTTTACAGCAAAGCAGCCTTTTAAAAACAAAACGGACACTTGTGGTGCTCCAAGGTTACTGGGAACACTTGGCTGTTTTTCTGTGCACTTTCTCTCTTGGCCAGTCTTTGCTTGACGATGAAACACAGAGAGAGGCAAAGCTGATTGGATCACTTGGTATTTGCTTGACTAACCTGCACTTTCATTGTTCTCCTGCCAGTTTTTGGTGTTTGTCATACTTTTTTGTTGGCATTAAAACCTTCCTCTCCTCGGTGCCACCTTAAAGCACCCTTTCAGCTTAAAAGATAGAGGATCGACTAGCACCAGTATGTGCACCTGTTTCTTTTGTGGCTTTACTGTGTCACATTATACCATGACATGGTATGTGTATGTATGATCTCCCAAATCTCAAGAGTTCACTGAGATTTTCAGTGCGTACAATGCAAATATAGAACATGATATGCACAATATTATACAGGTTTACAGATAAGGAAGATTGTTCAGTCCTATAGGTGTCCTATAATGATTTTGGTGCAGTAATGCCACTGATTTCCTCCCGCTTTGTTCTCTGTCATTGCAGATGAGCCACTTCAGTGACACAAGTCTCAGTGCTCCAGTCTGTCCTCTGGTGATGGGAGAACTGTAAAACCTTTTACAGCCCAAACAAAGAAATGGAGGAGCTGTAATTTACCATCTATTCCTCTGCCTCCTGGCTGCGAGGGAAGGGCAGACTGACGGCGTGCTCTTGAGCCAGGGCTGCCAGCTCTTTCAGGAACTCACAGAAAATAACAGCACAGTAGACGGCGTTCTTCACCCGCAGTGCTTCAGCTTGCTTCTCCAGGCCAGATGCTCCACCACCACCTTTGAACAGAGCGCTGTGCAGGGATTGGCCGCTATCTCGTACGTGTGCGAGTGCCAGCTGAGCGGCGTGTCGAGCCCGAGTTGGGCTGTTGGTGTGACGAAGAATCAGGTCTCCAAGAGATGGCTTACGACTCTTCACTGGAAGACCAAAACATTAAATTTATGACCCACGGTAGGAAAAGGAATGGTTGTGGTGTCAAAACAATACTGATGTATCCCTGTGTACATGAGAATAGGTCTTAGTCATTGTCAGTTATCCTACTGTCCACACTGAAACCCAATGTTTCCACCTGAAATGCCACTGCGCTGCAAACAATGAGGGTCAAACTCTCGTTACCTACAAAAATTCACTCCGAAGTTTGTCCTACACTTAAACACAGCCAAGCTATTTCAAGTCTGTATCTTTACATGTTAGTCTATTGAAGACATTTTCCTTTTTTGTTTCTCTGGTTAGTAGTTCTGTGCTGGACTGCAGTTGAGGGACACATTGTAGTAGCAGGGTGCAGGCTCTATTACCTGCAACTGGCTATTAACTCGCACTAATCAATATTACAATCGCTTGTTATCATTATATGGCCATGTGAGATATAATAGGGTATGCTAACATTTGTTTCTATAAAGCTGAATCAACTTTGAAAGATACCGACTCGAATTAGTTCAGTGGAACAGCTGATGCTTCATTTGAGTCTGAGTGTAGTGATGTTCTGGGTGGACAGTAGGAGTAGTGACAACACCGAAGCACTATTCTCACGTACATAGGGATACATTATTATTGTTTTAACAACGTTAAAAAATCCAGAACTCTTCCTTTTAAACTGAATCTGAAATCAAGGTCTGCTTTTTCTGGAGCTTTCAAAACTGAACACTCAGTTAACTAAGGACCTTTAGTTCAGATTAATTTTAACTATTATTTCCTCCAAGCTTTGGCAGTTTGTTTAAAAAAAATCATGTAACTTGACATTAACACTTTCGTTAATTCTTTTAAAGGTACATTTACAAACTCTTGAGGAAAGCTGATTGTGTTTCAGTTCCCAGCAAAACTCAGCCTAACCTGTCTGAGCTGGTATCTGCAGCACTTGTATGTGTAAGTGCAGTTGGTCCAGGTTCTGGACTCACCCAGTGAATCAGAGCGACGCAGTGGGGGAACAGCTGCCATTGAGTCGCTCCAGTCCACTTTCCCTCGGGCCACCAGATACTGCTGGGCTTTCTTCAGCATGGCAGGGAAGTCCTCATGGGACGCTGCAAAAGCCTCGATGCGGTTCTTCACAGAACCTAGAACCTGAGAAGAGTTGGGGAACAATTGAGTGTCTTGTTTCAATTCCTTACTTGGGTCAATAAAATTCACTTATGACTTTAAAAGCTTTAAGACTGAAGATCAAACTAAAAGTCTAGAGGCCACAATGCTCATCCACTCTACAATATTAATAACTGCTAAAGGGAAAGATACTGAGTATTCAAGCATCTCTTCATAGAATGTTACCACTACCACAGTGCTCTGGTTGTGGAGTTAGAGGAAGGGGGACGGGGCTATTTTAAAGAGTTCACATCCACATGATAGTAAATGGGCTTTTTTTTTTGTCCAGTGCAGTACTGTCCATTTACAGTGTCTTGGAAACATGCTATGCAAATATCACTGTGGGCCTGATGCTTTTGGAACAGAAACTAGCACAGAAGTAAGGTGGGCTGGAAGTGGACAACTATGCCTAAAAACAAGAACCTAAAACTGTCACCACTTTAAGAGCTAATACAGAATCTTTTGTCTCTAGTTAATACTGAGCCCCTGCCTGTGAAATGTAATGCACTTAAGCTCAAAGGAGGGCATAGATGGCAGGGTGCAGTGTACCTGGATCAGTGACTTGACACTGGGCTGGAAGACCATGTTGGTGTTGAGAAGGAAGGAGCGTAGGAGAGGCTGAGGGTAGCAGGCCAGCTTGGCCATGATGCCTGTGAGCAGGATGTTGACGTACAGCGAGTTCTGGAGCATGTTCTCCAGCTTGGCAAACAGAACCACCATGAATGGACCTGCAGAGAGAAAGATTAATGGGCCATTGAATGAAAAAGTGGAACACAACTTGCGTTGCAAGTGAACAAACTCAGGATGAAATCAGAGGCATCTGACAGCTTTCCAAACAAGTGAAATGGCAAAGAGACAACACTGACCCAGGAGCTGAGATAACAGCAGTAGCATTATAGTGGGGGGGTGGGGAACAAACTCATATTGGGGATTATAGCATAAAGTTATCAGATGCATTGCCTGGCCTGTTGTTTGTATGGCAGATGACATCTCACTAGTGTATGGCTGGGAGGCAGGCTGATTTAGTGGTCTGGCAGGACTACAGAGGTCTCCCTTGGCTTCACCCATCGGTTTCGCCTCCTCAGCTGAAGACAGCTGTTGTTCCTCCTCCTGCTGCTGCTCAGCAGTCAAGGACTCACTTGCTGCTTCTTCCTGCTGGCAGCTGGCTCTGCTGCACTCCTTCACTTGGTCCTCCAGCTCGCTCAGCTCCTGTGTGAAGGCCTCGATGCTGATGTCCTGACCGTTTGGATCTCCGGGGAGCTGTGGGTCTCCTGGTGCTTGCTCCAGCAGTTCCTCAATGAGACTCTCTACAGATTGTTGCAACTGGCTGGCGTCTGGAAGATGCGAGGACGTGCTGTGTGAGGTGTCGCTGGTCACCAGTTTGGTGTCAGATACTGCCTGGGTAATGGAGCTCTGAGATGAAATCAGGTTAGGGTGAAGAGATTTTGCATCACCAATGTCAGTGTTACTAAAGATAGACTGTGGGAGAGTGGTGCAGCTTTGGGAGGGGCAAGTAACAAGTGACCCATTTTGATTGGCATTTTCATCCAAATACTGCTGCTCCCCCAAGTCTCTCTTCACTTTCTTTACCTCCAGTTCTCTATCACGACTGTCTGAGCACCCATCAGCCTGTCCCATCGTTCCATTATACATGGGCTGGTAGCTAACAGTAATGGCAGAGGAGGGAATATGGGGAGCTGGGGATGAGATTGGGTGGGAAGTGGATGAAGGGGTTGCTGAAGAGGAGGAGGATGGGATGAGAGGGGGTACAGGCTTTGGTGGGAGCTCCTCTCTCTGCAGGCTGCGTTTCTTGGAGCGCGGTGTGAGGCTGATGCAGTTGTTTCTGCCGATTGTGACATCCCACTCTCCACTGTCCCGTTCTGAACTGCTCCATTCAGACCGTGCTGCAGCCACAATGGCCGTCCTCTGCTGGCCTGGAGGGGAGTTACTGCTTCCTCCCTGCTGGAAAGAGAAGTGCTCAGGGAACATAGCCATGGAGGGGTTGGAGGTGGGGGGAGGTGGGGGTTGAGGGGCTGTGCTTGGGGAGGGGTGTTCGCCATCATAGGGTGCTGACCAATCACGGCAGGCCCAGGAGGAGAGCGCGGTTACCCCCCCTGCTGCTGGTGCATCGGGCTGTCAGGGGACAGGGAGTGAGAGCTGGAAGGACCTGACTGTAGTGGCTCCATACTAGTGGGGGTTGAGGGGCCTCCTACTCCTGATCCTCCTGCAATGCTCTGCTGGCGGATGAAGAAAGCTAAGCGGGATGGGGTGCTGGGTCTAGGTGGAGCTGGAGACTCTGTGCTGGGACTGTTCAGTACTGTAATACAGCAAAAGGAAGATGCAAACAGGCATCAACTTCCAAACACCATCTGTAAGACTGCATCATATAAAATGTACTGTCTAAATAACAGACACATAACAGTGAGGTTTGATGTTAGTTAATGTGGTATTTATACATAGCCTTATTTAAAAGGGATGCTAAGGGTCAAGCCACGTGTTCTCCCTCCTATTGTCTGAGCTTTGAGCCTTTTCATACCACAAGGCAAAACCAAAACACAGCCGCTAGCCTATTGCTAACACACCTCCCTTACTGACCAGAGCAGCCGAATTGATATTAAATGTATGGATGAATACAGTATCAACCCTGACACCTACAGGGTTCTGCAGGCATGTTCACAGATTTCTGTCTATGCCAAATGGTCCCCCCAAAGAAGGAAAAAAGCAAGAAAAAAGGTTTGCACACCGTGTAAAGCTCCCGGTAGCAGCAATGTTTCGATCTGTACAAGATTTTCATCAGGTATTATCAAACATACAAACTTCCCTGGTAGACTAGTGGTTAAGGCGCAATTTTTATATTTTTTTCTGTATCGTATTTGCCTTTGATTGTTCCTCCCATGTTGTCTTTTGCTCCTCTGGTGGGAAGTTTTCGAACAGTGTATTTTAGTTCTGTCCTGACTGATTCCATTTAGAAGCAGATTGTCTTCAAATGACTCAGACTGAAAACACCTGTGTGCCTTTCAGTGTAATACCTGTTTGATAATGCCCGATGAAGATCTTGTATAGGATAAGGATAATAAGGATAATCACCTTATCAAACATGCGTCACACTGAAAGGCACATTTCTATTGTATTTTTATATTTTTTTCTGTATCGTATTTGCCTTTGATTGTTCCTCCCATGTTGTCTTTTGCTCCTCTGGTGGGAAGTTTTCGAACAGTGTATTTTAGTTCTGTCCTGACTGATTCCATTTAGAAGCAGATTGTCTTCAAATGACTCAGACTGAAAACACCTGTGTGCCTTTCAGTGTAATACCTGTTTGATAATGCCCGATGAAGATCTTGTATAGGATAAGGATAATAAGGATAATCACCTTTATTTGGCCAAGCATGTTACACACACACAAGGAATTTGTGTCCGATACGAAAAAGAGACAACCATCTGCAGCACCAAATTCACACCGATGGCATTAACCGCCATAGATCGAAACGTTGCTATTTAATTACATTACTAGGAGCTTAACACACTGTGCAAACAATTTTCTTGCTTTTTGCCTTTTGTTGGTAAAAATGTTTTGGATGTGCATGTCCTGTGTTTTCCATCCTAAGAGGTGGGAAAATGGCACCTGAAGAAGCTAATTATGGTTGACAAAAACGATTCCACCAAGTAAAAAAAGAAAAAGATGCGTTTTGAGCATTCACATAGCAACAGCTGCTCACTTCATGTTTACAACCACAGCTGTATTGCATCGTTTCTGTTCCATGCGTGTCTGTTGCTCACCTTTGCCCCAGGATGCACTGTCCTCATCCCGCTCAGCAGATGATGCCACATTCAGCCGGCAGCACTCTGGGATCAGTGACAGGAACTTGTCTGCTGACTTTCCATATATGTCGATCTCCCTGATGGCGCGACGCTGACTCAGCATTACATGGGTGCAGGGCAGTAGATACCTTGGGAGCAAACACACAAACTCCTACATTTGCATGTAAAGTTGCTGGCAGCTGGATGATCTGTCTTGGTCCTGAAGACTCAATTACAAAAGGTAAAACCGGCCTTGGATGTTCGCAACATGCTTGTATCTGGGCCCAATAATTTCTTTATCAATGAGGGTTGGAGACAGAGGAAAAAGAAAATATCCCCTTCTTTAATTTTTCAGTACTTTGAGATGAGGTCAAAAAAAATCTAAGTGACACAAAGTATTTATTTCCCAACATGTAAATGTTTCACACAGGTAAACAGTCATTCACAGAACCTGGAGCGTACAACTAAAAACAGAATCCTCCAACCACTACCAATAGTGACTGGAACATGCAAATAAATGACTAGATCTGTGTTCTGACTGTTCTTAAAAATAGAAGCTCCGATGTGCCTCAGTACCTGAGAATGAGCTGCAGCATGATGTCTTCACAGTGCAGTGAGAGAAGAGTCCTGAAGAGGCTCAATGATACCATGCAGAGCTGCAAAGCACACATATTAAAAAAAGGAATATATATTATATTAATGCTAATGAACATGTAAGTATTTTGTTTAGTTTGTGATGTGTTCAGAGCATTTTACTATATAACCACAAGGTTGGCCCATTAGAAAGTTTCTGACAAAGGTTTATTGATAAATACATTGTGTCGTTTCAAAGAATGTCCAAAAAGACAAAGAGCCTCATTTTCTCTTCAGACTGAAATCTTTTTTTTATCGTTGAAATGAGTCATCGTGAAAGACAGATATTTAAACTCGCCTTTCAAAAGGAGAAACTAGCAACGTGATACAATAATGAGGCCTATTTCTTTCTCTTAAACACCATTATTGTCTCCCACAGATCATGTTTTGTTTGTAGGAATCAAAATCTAAGTAACTGAAGATTATGTCCACACATTTCACTCTGGATTGCTTTCCCAGCTACAAACAGTGTTCAACAAGACAAACAATATAGGCAACAGACTTCATGACATTTACTTTCCATGTTTGTTCTAAGAAACCAAATATTTAGTCACTCGATCAATTTTTGCTCTCAGCCCACACACCTCCCACACTACTGGGTGCATGTGAGGGCCTACCAACCACAGACACATACATACAGTATTGTATACAAACCCTTGAATTGCTGCTGATGCGTGTGAGCAGTGTGTCCAGGATGGTGTCATTGTCATGGCGATGCAGCAGGATGAAGCGCAGGAAGGTTTTGAGGAGGGAAGTCTCCGTAACACTGCGCAGGAAAAGGTCCAGGTAGGCGGTGCTGGCGATCATCTCATCCACCGACGACTACAAAAACACAGACATTTGCATCAAAACTGTGAAAGGAGGCAATGTGACAGTTCTATGAATATTATGAAGGCTAAGATTAAAAACAGGCAATGAGACACTGTCTTCAAACCACTTGGAAGAACCGTTTGCTTTGGCTCAAACTCTGACATCTGTTGAAGAAAGTCGAGCAAACAAACCAGTTAAGACGGTTGTTCCAGTGGTGGTTGCTAATTTTTTTTAACCACACCATAAAAATGTCTTCCAGTGACTCATGGGGCCATAAACAGAGTAGTCAATTTTCATTGGGTACATATTTTAGTCAGCCACCTCAATCTGTTTTACTGAAAGGGTCAGTTTACTCAAATTATAAACAACAAAAGATACTATCTAGTCATGCAGGTACTCAAGGTCTTGCAAAACAGAAACTTGGGAACAATTTTATTAAATAAAAATAGTTAAAGAATAAGCTAGTGAGTAGATGTGATCTTGTTTCTACAAGCCATCCATTTCCTACCTTATGCAGGGCAGGGCCCATGACTGGTACAAGGAAGCCATTGTGGAGGTAGTCCAGGAGCTGGGAGCGAACCAAGGGATGAGCCACCTGCACCACAGCATTGCAGAACTCCAGCGAGTTCATGAACAGCACAAGTGAGGACACACACATCCAGTCCTCCCGCCGTAGGGCGTGCCAGTCGTCTCCTCGAACCTCAATCTTCCTGGGCAGAGAGGAGTAGAGAGCACTGAGGCCTGTCGCCAGCACCTGAGACAGAAAGACTTCAGGTAAGAGCACTGATTGTCTACAGCCCCCAAATTTGTTATATGTCAAAAACTGAAATCTCTTTCACAAACGTATTCAGACCTGTGTATGTGCACTCATGGAACACCTTAGGTACACCTGTACCACTGCATGCAATCTAGTACAACAGCTACCTGCGTGAAGCTGAAACTGAAACTTGTCAAATCAATTATACGTTTAGTATTGAAGTTATAGTTAAAGATGGTGCTGTACTGGACTCTCCTTTTTTTCCCCAGGGCTGTATATATATATTTTTGTACTGTCTATTTAAAAACAGCACATGAGATCAGAATATTAGGAACAGCTCATTCACAGGACAAAAACCAAGCCAACCAAGTCCAAGAGCTCTCTGTAGGCCCCTGCAATAAAACTAAGGCACCCATCCAATCTGACAGAGGCTGAGAGGATCTTCTGGGAGCAGTAGGATAAACTGGTCAAATCCAGCTGTGCAAAGCTTGTAGAGACTTACCCAAGTAGACTCCAAGCTGCCGCCAAAGGGTCAGCTACATAGTAGTGAATTGTTTGTTGTTAATTATTGTTGTTAATGAAAGATTCCAGTTTCAGATTTTTACCATATTCTAGAAAATATTCTTGCACTTTGTCATTATGTATTACTGAGTGTAGATTGATGAGCGAAGTCTATTTCCAATCATATCTACAATGCAACCTGTGCAAAAGGTGAAGGAGTCTGAATACTTTGTGTACAACAGCTCACCTAACTACTGCAATCCTAATGAAGTGTTTGAATAAACTCAATTCTCAATATGATAGAAAAGACCCCATTTTACACTGCAGGTAAAAGCCCTCGTGTACTGTAACAGTGCTTTGACTGCAGCTGGTGACACTAATGAAAATGTATTTTTACATGGAGAAACCTGGACCCATCAGCACAATTAACAAAGTGTGTATGAAGAATGAGCGGCAGAGGAACACTTGGTCTTTAATGCCACCCTCACTGCTCCCTTTAACCAGTAACTAGGTCAGACTGGAAGTAGGACAAGCAGAAAATAGCTGAGCCAGCTCTTTATCACCAGGGTGAACAGGTAGAAGAAAACAAGTGTTGTGACCACAGCAAGCTACTGTACACAGACATACACGTCACGCAGCAGCCTTCACCGTCATAATGCAGTTCTGAAGTGAAAATGCTGCCGTTTGTGACTGGACTTTGGCAGTCAAGGCTGGATTTAGAAACTTCCTGATGTTCAAATGCATGTGCACACACACATCACACTGAGTCACCATCACAATAATATCCATCAAGTCAGTGCAATCAGTGAAATATAGCCCTTCAATCACATCTAGTGGTAACTGTAAGAAACTACACATTGGTCTGCCTTCAAAATCTTCCTACTTTATTCTCATTTACAGACTAAGTGAAAGAGCCAAGAGCCGTCTGTCGGAGTTTTTCCTCCCCACTGTCACCAAGTGCTGCTCAAGAGGGATTTGTTGGGTTTTCCCTCTGTAATAATATTGATAACAGTAAGGTCTAGACCTTAGTTTGTAAAGTGTCCTGAGATGACTTCGGTTGTGACTTGGCAGTATACAAATAAAATTTGATTTGATTTGAAAATAGGTAAATATGTACATTATATATGGTCACAAATAAATTAATCAAAGATCTTTTTTTCCATCAAGATATTTGAACTGCTATGTTCCATCATGTGGTAACGTTTCTGTCAGAAGTGTTGTTTAGCCTCCCTGGTAGTTTAGACATTATTGATCTGTGTGAAGCAGCAGTGAGCAGAGCATATGAGCAAAGTGGGGCGGTGAGAATTTGCACTTCTTGCTCACCGAGCTGTTTGCCTGCACCGCCCTCCAGCTCAAACTCACACCAGGCCACCCTACTCATCATCACTCAGGGCTCAACTCACATTGTACCCACTCGCTCCAAAAAAGGGGAAAAACATCTGTATGTATTTCACTTAACCTAAACCGCTGCCTTACATCACAAATAACTATAGAACCAGGACTACTTTTTTTCAAATTACAGTTAGGTCTATGTAACGAGGATGGTAACACAAACATTCACATGTAAAATTCAACGAATCAATGGGCCTAATTAAATTAAAATATACACCTGTATGGCCTTTCAGTTTCCTTTTTAACATACTTTAGGACCTCCATTTATTGAGCTCGCTATGGCTGCTTTTTGGCTGAAAGGTGTTGGATGACTGTGCAAAACACAGATGTATGCTTCAGGCTTGTGGTGTGAATGGTATGGGAGGAAAGTGGAGCAGCACATAGTTCCCTCCTTTTTAAAGAAGTCACTCTGTGCTCTGCTCACATGCTCTGGCAGTGAGGAGTGTGTATGAGGCAGAGGATTTTCAGTGTGTCTGTCTATCTTAAACATTGTAAATGCTGCAGTGTTTTAAGATGTTTACAGGAAGTCTATTTTGAGTCAGAGCTGTGAGGATGCGGATAAGAATAAATGGTTTATCAGAATGCATGGTCATCTCCTTCCCCTTCCACTATCACACAGCATCACTGATGCATCACAATTAGACAACACACACACACACACACATACACAAGCCTCTCTTGCTTAATAGCGGTGTCGAAACAAGCCAAACAACTATCTTATCATTAAATGCAGGGGTCATATCCATGTGTACATCGTACTTCTCTGTCAGAGGCTAAACTGAATTGAAATTAGAGATGGGTCTGATATTTTAACTAAGCGCAGTAGTACATATGAAAGTAATTAAGATTTAAGTCAGGCAAGTTACGAGTGGAATAAAACCACCTAACATGGGATCAAACAAGAAAAAGACAGGTTGGAGATTTAGCTTTAGATGAAAGGAAGCCAAAAAAGATACAGAGGATGTTCATAAACAATCAAATGCAAGTCATCAACAACAGTCAGTAACGACTAGGGGTGTGATGACACTCAGCTCACAAGACAAGATGATACATGATAATGGGTTCACGAGAACGAGGCAGGTGATATTTTAACACTGTTTCTAAGAAATATTCACTGAAAGTCCCAAAATGCCAAACAATGCAGGTGTATTTTGAAATGTTTGAACTGATCATCTTGTGATGAATGTCACTTCAGTTCTACTTTCTAAGTACGAGTTACCATATGCAGTCAAAGACAGAACAATATGCTGCCACTGGAAATGTCACCAGCTCAACTGACTGGCTTCTCTCATGAGTCTCTTCAGACATTTTAACTCTGCATGAGCGTCTTCTAATTGAAGCTGTGTGTGATCATATATGCTATTTTCACCCTCAGTGCACCGCACCAGATGGTGACATCATTCGACGAAGGCGTTGACCAGTCACGCACAGGGAACAATCTGGAACATGGACACCCAACGAATGTTTCTTTTGTTTAGCACGAGCATTCACTGCTATTCACTGTCACATTTGGGCCACAAATAATGCACCATAAGGACACGCCATGCATTTTCCTTTGTACTGGATGTTAAACTATGTATTTTATCTCCCAGTGCCAACACGCTGGTGGTAGAATTGGTGCTAAGGTAGAGGAGGCTACGTTAGCCATATGGCTGACCGAAACATAGCGAAAACCTACAGGCTGGAAATGTAAATGTCATAACGTGGGCATATTATACACACCTACAATGCTCTCACTGCAACTCCTCATCCCCTAACCAATGCAGCCCTGTGCATTAAAGCACAGCAGGGGGTTGTGGTTTTGCCAGACTATTGTGAAGGTACCATCACTTCGCCATCACATTCCGTCATACTGGCTGGTGCTCTGGTTCTGTTATGTACTGATATCACGAGACAGCTTCTGCCTCAAATAAGTATTATCACATTTTAATAACACGAGATCCCACAGCATGAGATCTCATCACACCCCTAATGAAGACCTTAATGTGAGTCAAGAAGGTCTACCTCACCGGCTTCTTAAGGGGCTCTGATTTAAGGGTGATTTTCCACCTGTCAACCATATAAAAAAATAAAATAAAATAAAAAACAAATCATCAAATACCAAAAGTAAGGACTAGACCCACAAAAGCAATCATTTCCAGCGGAAGCTCTCCAAGAGGCAAGAACCTCAGGACAGGGGAAAAACTCCTAGAATATTGAAAGAAACAATGCACAGACAAGTTCAAACTTAGCCCCACCGCTAACCACAGCTCATGTCTACAATACAACATTCTCCATGACAATAGAGATTTCACGAGCGCCATCACTCACTGGGCAGAAGTAGGAGTGCTCAGCAATGTAGCATGCTACTGCCTCATGGCTGGCTGAGGTTGCCATGACGAGCAGCAGCGCATCTCTGGCCTGTTGTCCGATGGCTCCATCCCTGTGAATGAACGGCACGAGGAGGGAGAAGATCAGCAGATTGGTGGAGCCCTGCTGGGCTGGTGCCACCCGGAACAGCATCTCTAGAACCACAGGCTGCCGGGCCATGGACACACAGACCTGGTGGGGATTTAAAGAGACACACAAAAAAAAAATAATAATAAAAAATTGTACTACAGTACTGTCATGGCAGTCACTTGGTGTTTACATCTAGGAGAGAAAATGATGTCAGTGGGTGGAGTTTAATGATTCCAGCTGTTTAGATGACAGTCAACACAAATACATTAGAGAAGACTGTAGGTTTTTGTGTACCTGATTGAGCAGCAGTACCAAGCTGTTCTCCAGGACTGAAGGACAACCAAGTTCTGGGTCAGAGCACGCTCCCAGCAGCCTCAGCAGGGGGTGGAGGATGGCAGTTTGCTGCAGCAGAGGCTGCTGGGATTGGCCAATGAGCATCTCAAACAGCTTGAGCAGCGCCCCCTGGCTGTCTGGGTCCAGGCCGCGGTGGAGGTGCCACTGAACCAGGCGCTCAATAATATTCTCAGTGACCACCAGTTGCAGAATGGGGCCCATGGGGGGTAGGCTGGTACCGCTATCGGAGCCCTCTGCAGACCGCTCCTCCGCTAGCAGACATAACATCTGGTCAGTGTGATTCCTCACTGCTATCAGGTCGTCGCTAGAAGATGAAGGTTCACGCTGTTCCAGCACCCAAGAGACCTGAGCAAAATAAGAGTGTTAGTGTAATATTTAACTCTTAACATTGCTGTCTCTCTACAAAGAGCTAAAAAAACAAGTGTGGCCCATTTCAACTGAGTTCTAAACAGGTTTTGTTTCCCTTTGTTTTAAAAGCCTTTTTCATATAACACATTTTGACGTCACAGGTGTCAATAATAAAATAAACGATGGCTGAACTTCATTTAGCTGCTTTGATTTCAGGGTTTTGGTATTGTCTGTGGCTCCCTGTCATAGTGGCAGCATCATCATTATATGAGCAATGAACTTGGGTCAGAGACAACAGTGACACTTGAATGGTACTCTAGACTCTAATGGTCTTAGGAACTTTTGTGCTTTTTCTACTATGACAAGATGAAAATGTGTGAAAATCGTCTTGTCATGGATGACAGATGCACAGCCAAATCTAAAAATCTCAGCTACTTTTGATGTGTTGAAAAACGTGTTGGCTGCATTTTGCACCCTTAATAATATTGAAATTAAACTTATAAATGTTAGCAAACAAAATTCTAAAATGCATAGACAGATATCACAAAGTATTGGCACTGCAGCTCTTTTACTTTTGATAGAATGCGACAAAATGACATAAAAGGGGTGTAACAAATGAGCAGATCGACAAGCCAGGGTTTCATGATATGTGTCAAGAGGTCCACCAGTCAGCATGACTATAACAGTGATGAATTTGCAGATCTGTGTACAGCCTGTGCAGATAAGAGACGCACTTCTTTGTGTTGTAGCTGCTTGAAATGTCTGGTAATTGTAGGAGCTGAAATCCAGATATAACTGTATTTGGTCTACACAGAGTGAGGCTGCAGGGCTGTACTCACAATAGACCAACAAGAATGACTTAGATGTCTCTTGTTGCCTCAGAGCAAAAGTACTTATTGGGCAGTGGCTGATCTCTGTAACCTATAAAACCTTCAGTCAGTCATTGGACACGAGTCCAGTCTCACCATTAGAGTAGACTGACTGCTCTCATCAGTTAAGACGCAGCCAACTGAAAGCGTGAACATCCACACTTGTTTTCCAGTATTCCAAATGTGCCATTTGCAGTTTTTGTTTGTACTGTACCCAAGGATTTGCAAACAACTATCTCTGGATTACTATGAATCTGATGCAAATGTATAACCTTGAAATATGTTGATTCATAGCTAAGTTCTAGAGCTATAAGGATCATATTCTTTTCTGTGACTTCTTGCAGACATTTAATAATATTTGCACAAAGTATAAGCAATAATGAATCAAAGTGTGTACATCATGAATGTGCTCAGATTTGACTGAGTCGGACTCAAAGTAGTGAGACTTTCGATGCAAATAGCTGAAATCCAGTGAAAAGGTTTAACTTTAAAGGTTTAGAGCAACTAACTGTTGCTACTCCATCTATTTTAACAGGACACGCAAGTGATCACATCATGCTCTACTGCATGACGGCAGTTACAGTAAGTACTTTCATAATGAGGTTGTAAAGCTTTCTGATGAATGTGTTTTAATTTTAAAATTCAAAGCAAGAGGTGTGTCTACAGCTTACCTGTCTCCAGTGGTTTTCAAACACCATGAGGCAGGTCTCTGGGTCAGCAATGCAGGGGCTGGAGGGTGCGGCGCTCCGGGCAGACCGACTCCCGGGACCCCGCGGGTTCAACCTGCTCAGCCAGCTCATACTGGACACAGTGGGAGGCAGGTCAAAAGTTACAAAAACTCCAAGCCGAGAGAAGGCGCTCCAGAATGTGGGGGGAGGATTAAGGGGAGAGAAACTGAATCCCAACAGAGAGATGGAGACGAAGAAGGTTGGCTGAACAGTCTGTCACTGCCAGTGAGTATATGTCTATGAAAACGTCACTGCCTCTTTAGAAACTGTGTGACCCAGTCCTCCCTATTGTCCCTGTCATCCGGTCTGAAGCCAACACCACTCCATAGTCAGTCAGTGCTGTGTAAACAAACAAGAAAGATATTCCATCACACCGGTGCAAAAAACTATTAAATAATTATTTCCAGTAACGACTCATTCATTTACAAAATAGTATGAAATTGTCTCATGCAGCCAAACTCACTGAAGCGATAGCTAACTTAACTGTACAGCTAAATCCACGTCATCACATATTGTCCTGTGGCCTGAATCACAAAGTGGGATTAGCAAGTTATCAAGTTAACTTAGCTCAGGTTTTCTGGTTCCACGAAGCTGGCTTTAATTAGGCTAGATCACTATGGTAACTTAAGGAGCATGGGCTAACCTGATCCGGAGCAGGTTAACTTCAGAGGATGGGATCAAAACCTGCCAACAGCCTGATGACTGACCAGTCAGATTGTTGGAAAACCAGAGATCGTTCCTACAGGATCCTGACAGGGACAAAAGAATTGACATGAATGTGATAAAAAATAAATACATATTTCTATAGGGCAGTCATAGTGCTGTGCTGTTTCAGGCTTTCCATGGGTCACTCTGGTTTAAAACTGTTTTTCTAACAAACTGAGAGCCCACAGGCTACATGATCAGCACTGTATTTTAAATGCACAAAGATTACGGGGGAGGCGACAGTGGTGCAGTGGGTAGAGCGGTCGTCTCCCAAATGTTAGGCTCAGTGAAGTTAGTCAGACTTAGTTGAACTGGCTTGGTGGTACGAGCTCCTGTGTCCAGTCCTACAACAGACCCACTCATTCAGAAATACAGTAAATCACTGGTGCTGGAGAGCTTCTGTGGTTTTTCTGTGCAACAAGCAAACATACACAAGTCAGCCTCTACAGTATGTTGTTACCAGGGAAACCATTAAGTCCACCTACAGTCAGTGCACCTTCTGTTTAACATGTCTATTAGAGATGCAGATTTCAAGCACATTTCTTGCTTCATCGCGACCTTTCTGTGCAGAGTTTGCATGTTCTCCCTGTGCCTGCGTGGGTTCTCTCCGGGTACTCCAGCTTCCTCCCACTGTCCAAAGACGTGCGGCTTAGGTTGATTGGTGGCTCTAAATTGCCCGTAGGTGTGAGTGTGGTTGTTCATCTATGTATTGGCCCTGCGATGGACTGGCGGCCTATCCAGGGTGTACCCCGCCTTTCGCCTGATGCCGGCTTGGATTGGCTGGGAATGCCTATTTTTCAATGAATTACAGCTGCTGTCTTGTATGAAGGAGCAAGCTACTAACTTTCAGAACCACAGTTCAAACCAACAGGCCTATCTGATACTCAAAAGGCTGATTTTCAGGTTAAAGTTGTGATTTAGTTCAAAGTTAATGTCAAAACCGCTGCTTGCTCATGCCTGAAATCTATTTCTGTGAAGTTGTTTGCTTTCATCTCCCAAGTGTTTGAATAAAAGAACTTGGGTCACACACACAAGAAAGAGATTTGATGACTTCTTGCTTGACTCCCTTAAAATCAATAAGGCTCCATGCCTTTCTTATTACTCATACAGCAGCTGTATCAACAGCAATGAAAAGACAGGTTCAAAAGTAACATACATGCCTTATTCAGTATTTTCCTTTACTTAATGAATGAGTTCATCTATACCCAGCCATGAAAGCGGAGAGAAAATCAACCCACAAAGAGTCCAAACAGAGTTTATCTAAAGTAAAATGGATCTGAAAATAAGCTCCCTGGAAATACAGTCCATCTATGATTAAAGCAGTTACCTGAAATGCACGCCAGCCAGTCTGCCTCAGCATCTCACACCTACCGTTCTGATGTTATTGTGCAGCTAATATGAAGCATATTGCAGACAGAAACTCAAAATGTATTTTCAGGTCACATGCAGCAGCAGCATCATAAAAACACCCATAAATGAGTTCAAAGTTCAACTACAGATTCCATTATGGGGTGGCTGCCTTCATAAAGAGACAGAGTTTGTCAAAGATAAGTGATCAAACACACCACAGCACAGCTCATCTGACTGTTATAATCTCAGACCATAAAGTCTAAAGGCCAAGATATGCTCTGACTGGTAGTGGAGAACAGCTTGCTTCCAAATAGTTTTTTAAATTCCCAATTCATATAATGACAGCCACTGTTTTTGTAGGAGCTTCCCAGGTGTGCACAGGTGGGAAAATAGGCAGAGCTCCAAGTCTGTGCAAATTCTGTCCTTCACAGTCCTCACATTTATACTTCTGTCATTAGCCGTTTTCAGTGACTCACACTGATGACATCTGTTTTTGCAGCAGCAACAGGAAGAATGTGATAGAAATCTGCTCTGAACAACAGCTGTGACAAACACAAGCTGATACAGACACCTGCTTCATATATCTTAAAACCACAGTGATATAGCTAGTTTTTATGTCACACCATGAAGTGTAAACACGACAATGTATTTACTGATCTGTTGTATCAACAAATACTTCTCAATAACCATCAGCCTTCACTAGGACAAACAGCTTCTCAACCCACCTTCAACCACCGTTGTCACTTTATAAGTGTGTACAGTTTACAGTAACTGCCCTGATGTGGTGATTAGGGTTGGGCAACATACATTTTGCAAGATACAGATGTCTTGGTTTCAGTGCTGAAACTAATACCTTCCCTATTACCATTCATGTAATTATGTCTTTTTTATACTCTATGTCAAGCATCAAACTTCCCACATACATTAGTGTTTACATTTGTGTTAATACAGAGCAGCCATACAAGAAGTTTGAAAAGGCAGTATTGACCAGCTGAAAACAATTAGCCACACTCTTTTGAGATTTTTGCTTGTAAAGTAACCTATGGACAACTGATCAACTAAATTGTTGCAGCTGAGTCAACTGGCTAACTGATTCATCGGCAAGTCATTTGGGCTCTAAAAACATCTTAAAAATAGAAAACTTATTCTTGATCTTGGAAACAGCGTTGAGGAAGACTGTGAGGTCAAAAGTCAACTGAGGAAAGAATTCAATTAAATCAGGAAATATGGGACCAAAAACAAATAAAAGTAACATTAGATTTCAAATCTGACCAAGCATCTGCTGCTTTCAGCATATGAAAGCATAGTATTATGATCCCACTTCACAATGATACCACACTACTACACTGTGCACTGTTGACTTGTTTTTACCTTCGCACATAATGCTCATTCTTGCACACTCTACACAGGTACCTCATGCACATTTACTTATTATATACACCTTATGTATGCTCTGTACCTTGCACATGTTACTCTATATACATATATAGCATTTTTTATACTTGTATCTTGTATTTTTTCCCCTTGGATTTTAGTCTTACACTTTTATGCATTTCTTTACTTTGGGTGCTGTGATTTTGGTAATAATTGCTGTTGCTACTGGACACCTGGATTTCCCTCGGTATCAATAAAGCATATATCTATCTGAAGGTTTTCAATACTCTGTGCTGAAACACATCAGTGGATTCTCAAACAGCATTCATAGTACAAACCCCATCTACCATAATCACCTAAAGTACTGTGAGAAGTGAAGAGTTCATGAAAAGTGATTTACTCGGCTTTTGAGTATTTAGATCACATATTATTGAAGAATTGAGCCCTATTGATAAATCTAAAGCATTTCTTGTGTCTAAGTTTCAGGAAAAACAACAGCCACGTATTGAATTGAAGGAGGCAGTCATGTAAAGTCAAACATCCATCACCACTGTGTTTTCTTGTGCCTCCATCCGACTCTGACAGATGTTCGCGCACGTTGGAGCAACCATCAAACAGCAAGACTTTGCCTTTAAACTTGGTTTATTGACGTTATCGTGTTAGCATCTGAGCTTTACATGTGATCTTATACCGTTAATCACCATCTTGCACCATATTAGCCAGGCGAAACCTTGGAGTCCGCCGGAAAACAACAATCAAGGCATTTCAATGGCGAGATGATGTAGCAAGCTAGTTGATTCTGCAGATAATTAGCTATCTTAGAAATGACAACCATGTATAGTTCATCTATCTAGTTGAAATATCTGCTGTAGTTTAATATTAGGTAGTTCCAAAATGACTTACCTTGTATATTTGTATATGTCTCAACTGTTGTTGTGAAGTGCTGATTTCAACGGCTACCTGCTAGCTAGCTGCTAGCAAGTTAGCGCCGGACGTTTGCTAACGACTAGCTGCTAATGAATTCCACAATGTCAGAGCAGTAAACGGGTGACCAGCATGAAAGTAACCCGGGGACAACTGCCAAGTTATACCATAGTGAGCCGGGGAAGCTAACACATTAACCACTCCCTCACTCGGGTTGCTATGCATCCTGTTAACGACAAATAAACATCCCATTAAGCGATTTCTCAAACACTCTTCGCTTTCCCGCAGCCATCTTACTTTAACTCCTCCCACGCGACTTCAGTGACTCACACCCACCGCAGCGCTGCTCCACAAGTGCAAAAACTAAGCAGCAAACACCGTGACCCAGTTCTATGCCAACACTAGCATGTGTAGCCTACACTGTGCACTGAATTTTACATTTTTTGGCTGTTATTGTGCAAGAAACTCATGACTGTGGATGGATTTCTGAATGGGCCTACCTGGCACAGGCCCTAGGGGCCAAAGGAGCCAGGGGGCTCCTAGAGCAGAGACCCAGCCAGGGGGCTCCTAGAGCAGAGAACCAAAATGAATCAAACGGCCAGTAAGATTGTTAACTTATGTAACAATGTAAAATACCACATTGTAAAAATACTCTGTTATAAGTAAAAGTCCTGCATTCAAAAAGTAGGCTACATAAATATTAGGGTAAAAAAATAGCCTAGGCTACTTAACAAAAGTAAGAGCAGTCATTATGCAGACTGACACATTTTATATGAAAAGATTGTATATCAAAATACTGGATTATAATTAGCTATTGATGCATTATTGTACATTACTTTTAAGGTTGCAGCTGGCAAAGGTGGAGCTAATTGCCTTATATACTGTAGGCTAGCATATCACAGGAAGTACTCAACCTATTGGGTAGCTTGTGAATTTCCCACACAAGATCAGTAAAGTCTTGTTATTACATTGCATTTTGTTTTATTAATCTGATTCTGCACATGTTGACTGTGGCACATTCTCTGCTGTTGAGGCTCCAGCCATAGTTAAACATCTCTAGCAGCCTCGTGGATTTGCAGAGGAAGGCTTCTCTGGGTTTCTAGGAGAAGCAAGTATTCCCAGAGGACATATTACATCTGTTGTGGTTTTCTTCCATAGAGACCAGCATCACCAGGCAGTGCTCAGCTGGTTTGCTGTTAAGTGAATCACACAGCACTGCCTCATTCAAGCCATCAAGGTTCTTTAAATTACTGTCCAAGAAAGTGAGATGCTCGTGTAGTAGGGAACAAAAGCAAGAGTAAAGGTCATTCTCAAATGTGTGCAATCTAGTCTAAAGCTGAATTTTGGAAAATGGATAAAACAGGTGATGCCAGTATTAGAGGAAACCAGTGGCAGAGACTGCTCAGGCAGCACTGGGGGCAGAAAGTAAAGGTGGAAGAAGAAGATGGAGCCAAGGATGAAGGGAAACGTCACTTCAGCCTGGGTCTGAACTTTAAGTGAGTAATTAAAATTTAGGCTAGAAATTGTTGCAAAAAAAAACTTTTTTATCACTGTGTAGTAAATAGATTGCTATGTATTCAATACACTGCGTGATTTCTGTACTGCTGAAGACCTGACAAAACCTCTTGCTAATGAATGACACTAGAAAGCTTTCTTTATCCACTGCAAGAACATTTGCTCATTTGTATACTCCAGCATTGTACAAATTAATGCACAAAGAAGGGTTTGCTAAAACATAAACTAATCCAAATACCACAAAGTAGGCCTATAAGACTTTTAATTTAAATGAGGTATTTTACAAACATGTGGAGTAGGAAATCCAGACAAAATTAATACTATCTTAATCCTACTATTAATATGCCATATATATGTTAACTGTTCATGTTCATTTAGACATGAGAACTGAACCACTGTGTGTCTTTATATGTTCCTTGTGTAGTATTTCCTTCTCCCTTCTCTCCATCACTGTTTTCTTTTCAGCTGGAACGAGTGGGTGGTTAATCCAGCAGAGCAGTTTTATTATGTCTGGCTACAGGTCATGATCCTTCCCATTGTCTACAACTGGGTGATCATCATTTTTAGGTACAAGCATCCAATATGATGGACATAAAATATTATATATATCATATATCTGGGATTCTAAACTGTGTTTATTTGACATCCCTTGAATCTCAGTCGGTTGGTTATGTTTTCTCAGGACATGCTTCACTATGATTGCACAGACCTACCTGCCTGTGTGGCTCACACTAGACTATCTGTCCGACCTCATGTATATGCTCGACATGATCGTCGCTCTTCGCACAGGTACTGTAGCAAAAATGTTTGTTTTTGTTGTTCTTTTATTGTTGGAATAAGTCTTTGAAACTGAATTTAACTTATCAAATTAAGATATCTGTCACATTTGAAAAGTGAAGGAACACTAAAAGCAAAAGAAAAAACTAAAACAATGATTTTCTGTTCCCATTATATATTAATTTTACATCTCTCCCACTTTTCACAAAAGAAAGACTTCTGTCCTACATTAATGTTAAAATATATATATATCGTTGCTGTTTAAACTGTGGTATGATGATAGTTTTATTAAAATAACACACACATACACCCCAACGTGGTTGCAAATAGGCCTGTAGGCCTGTCTAGATGTATCTAGGCAGCCAGACACTTTGGTGCTGCCTATTACAGGGTTTATCCAATAGTTCTGCAAAGTAATTTTGTCTCACAGAGCCAGTTATGTTCTGTATCTGAACACTAGGGCTAGAAGAAAAATAAAGTAGGCTATAGGTTCTATACACAGCTGTTTTATTAAGAGAAATTCATGTTAACTCAGTTACAATAATGATATACATTTCTTTTACATTCCATTGTAAAACAGAAATGATTACTTACATGAACAGATATAAGCTTTTACAAGACTGTTTAAGTTATGATTTTTGAATAACTAAAATATAATTGGCATTTTGTTTTCATCATCATCAACCATAACATATATGGATTGATGCTACATTCATATCATGTAGTAGTTAAAACTTGTTAAACCATTCAACATCCAACTAAGACAGTTAAACACAGATTTCCCTAAATCCACCCACATATCTGATATAGTGCTAAATAATATAGAGGTACCTGAAAATCTAACAGGCTTGGCTGCCTCACAACAGCCCAAGTTCATCAGCATTATTTAATAAAAGTCAATGAAATAGCTGTGTCATATGGGCCATGCACAATATTTAAACCCCCATATTTGGGGGTTTACTCTGCAACTAAACAGCTATATTGAGTTGGCAGATGATAAAGATCACAAGTCATAAACATGAAATCCTTTCTCATTGCTACCTTCCATTCTTGACATAAAAGCAACGCTAACTCTTATAAGTCAGGTAGATTTGTTACCCCCACTATAGTGCCAACTTACAAGCCTCGCTCTTCTCTTTCCAGGTTACTTGGATCAGGGCATTCTGGTAAAAGATCCAAGTCACTTAAGGAAGCACTACCTTTACTCTTTACATTTCTTAAGGGACTTGGTTTCTCTGCTGCCCACTGACTTCCTGTATTTCACCGTTGGCTTCCAAATTCCGCTGGTGAGGCTCAACCGCCTTCTGCGTACACCACGACTCAATGAGGCCCTGGATCGCATGGAGACAAGAACTTCCTACCCCAACGTCTTCCGCCTCTCCAAGCTCATGATCTATATCTTTGTGTTGATCCACTGGAACTCCTGTTTCTACTTTGCACTGTCTGGTTACCTTGGCTTTGGAAGTGATGACTGGGTCTACCCCAACATGAGTGATCCAGAATTTGCCTCTTTGCGTCGTCAGTACTTTTACAGCTTCTGGGTCTCTACAGATATTTTCACCACAATAGGAGACATCAGCCCACCAACCAGGGAAGAGGAGTACTTGTTTATGATTGCAGACATACTCATTACTGTGCTGGTGGTTGCATCAGTTGTTGGCAATGTTGGTCATATCATCACAAACCTAAGGGACCGTGACAATGTCTTCTTCCCTAACCATGAGCTAGTAAGCTGGAACACAGTCAGAAAGAAGATTCTCTATTTCTGAAACAGACTTCTGTGTGACAATTACTGAAAATTTCTTGTATTTAAACTTAAAGATGACTTTGTGTTTAATGACACTTTTGGTTAAGGGCTAATAATAAAGTTCTTTTTCTCATTCAGGTGAAGGCGTACATGAGGACCCATCCTGTTAGCAAAGAGCTTCGAGAGCGTATCAACAACTGGTACCAGCATCTTCACATCAACAAAAAGATCATGCGAGAGAATGAGATCCTGGAGCAGCTGCCCTTGAACCTGAGGACAGAGATTGCTGTCAGTGTTCACCTTCCCACACTCTCCAAAGTCACCATCTTCCAGAACTGTGAGAAGAGTTTGCTGGAGGAGCTGGTGCTTAAGCTAACACCCCAGGTCAGGGAAAAGGTGGCTCAAACAGTTAAGGCAGGCATTGGGGTTGAGCAATTTTGTTGCATGCTCTCAGAACCAAAATGGAACAAAAAATGCAAGGGGCTGCACTAGTAGGGGTGGAGGTGGGGGGGTGTAGCAAAAACAGTGGCGGTTTGAGCCATAGTTCTGAAGGTTTATGTAACTACAAAATCCCACAAACAGTTTGTAAAGATTCTGTAAATTCAGTGACCACAGTTTTATCCATTTTATTCATTGTGGTTGTGATGTAAACAGCAGAATTAATCACTGTATTTGGGTCGTGTTCATCTGCCAGAAATGCATGTTCATTTAGATTTGTTTGGCCCCAGCAATGTGTTCCCAGATGGCATTGAACCCTGTGCTTTGGCAGCCTCATTGCACAGATAGTTTCATTGAAATGAAACTAGTCTGAATGAAATGAAATGAAACAGTCTGAGTGTGGAACTGCACTGTCGGTTATCAATATCTAATAGTCCCCTCAGATTAATTGTATTAGCTGTCTTTTACTTTCCACCACAATTATGAGCCTACTGTGACTGACCATTGTCCTGTTTATATTGTAGACTTCTTTGTGTAACTGAAATAGGGGATAATGTGTATATGGGAATGGGATGAGAAGATTTGACAATAGAGTTGGGGAAGCTCATTCAATTATTCTATCTACTCTTGTTGTGTGGGTTTAAATTCAGCCTTGTTTCTTTACCCAGTTCTTCAGAAATGCTTTCAGTCATTAACTGTTTTAGGCTGAAGAGCTTGTCATGCCTGTTGTCTTGCAGGTATTTAGTCCAGGAGAGTATGTCTGCAGGAAAGGAGATGTGGGCCATGAAATGTACATCATCAGAGAGGGAAAACTTGCAGTTGTAGCAGATGATGGGGTCACAGAGTTTGCTGTGTTGAGTGCAGGAACTTTCTTTGGGGAAATTAGTATCCTCAACATCAAAGGTACTGTCAAGCACTGCATGTTCATTCATTCATTCATCATGTATTAATTCAAAGCTGTTTCTGAATGGTTGTTTATTTGACCTTAAAAAATATGCTTCAGGTCAAGTTAAAGTAGCTTCACTCAAACTGTCAACAATTATTAAGTAATACAGTTTGAGAATTTCTGCTTCCAGTCTTTGTAGAAAGTTGGCATAAACACATCCTAAATTTAAGTCAATACTGGATGTACAGTGATGAAATATAATTTATTTTCATTTTCTCTTATTTATCTATTTAGGACAATGCACACTAATCACTTTGCTTGTTAACATGCTAATACTATCCATCAAGCTAATTTTCAACTGCAGTTCGCTGACAACATTTTCTAAAACCAATGTGAAAATGTTAACAAATAAAAACATGGGACAGTAAGATAAGTCATAGCATTAGCAACAAAGTCAGCATTTTCAAAAGTTTGCATAAATGATTGCAAAGCAATAAAGCACCAATGAGCAATAATGCTAATAACAACCTTTTGTACACATTAGTCATGAAGAGCAACATTAAGCAACATAGTTAAAGTACAATGTTAACATTGGTAAATATTGTTTGTAATATAATGTTAATTGAAAGAGTTAAAGGATTGTAAAATGATAGCATTAAACTCTATACACATAAACCTTGCCACACAGAGTTGATAGAAACTATCAAATATTTATATTTCAATATTAATTCTATTGGCCACTGTGATTTAAGACAGCTGCAAGAGTATTTCCCTAAAGTTCCTTTAAACTCTGAAATGAGCTAATTTTGGTTATTAGCGCATCAGTTGGTAACATCCCCTCTACTGTTTTGTTTTGTGAAAAATTCACCAGTTTTGAAGAAGTCACATCATGTTTCTTTTTAGGTAACAAGTCGGGCAATCGTCGCACTGCCAACATCCGAAGCACTGGCTACTCTGACCTGTTCAGCTTGTCCAAAGAAGACCTGACACATGTTTTATCTGAGTTCCCTGCAGCCAAACGTCTCCTGGAAGAGAAAGGCAGACAGATCCTCATCAAGATGGGCATGTTGGAGGAGAATGGGGAGGAAGAGGAGAGTGAGGCAGAGAAAGTTGAAAGCAAGATACAAAGGCTAGAGAACAGCTTGGAGATCCTGCAAACCAAACTAGCTCGACTTATGATGGAATTAGAGTCAAGTAACCACAAGCTGCAGGCCAGGGTGGAGCAGCTGGAGTGGGAGGTGGCAGCACTGGGCACTGAGCTGCCTGAAGGTGATGAAGAAGCAGAAAGAGCAAACAGAAGAGTTGAAGGGGTAGGAGGGGAGGTTGAATGGGAGCGAGAAGAGGCAGAGGGGGAAGAATTGGATGGTTCAGATGCAAATGTAAAGAAACAGGGACATGGAGAGGATGGTAATGATGTGACCAAAGAAGGAGATGGAGAGAGTACTAAAAGTACAAAGGAAGATGTGGAAAGGATGGTGGAGGGAGGTACATTTGGTCTGGATGTCTCACAAGATCAAGAAAAGAAAAAAGAAGATGATGGAGAGAAAAATCAAGAGAAAGGAGATGACAGATCTAGGAAAGGAGATGGAGCTGAAATTGAACCTGAAGATGAGAAAGAAGAGAAAAGTGGGGAGAGAGAAAATCTGAAGAAGAGAAAGAAAGGGCCAATGAAATTTCAGGAAAAAAAGAGAGATGGGCAGAAAGATGAAAGACAGAAAAAGTAAATGAATAAACAAAATATCTGTAAAGGACAATGAAGTGTAAATCAATCCAAGTGTGCACATTTGTCTGTTTATATTAATAAAAACACTGACAATCTAATCTCAACAGTGCCCACAATACAACTTTATACCACTGGGTGGTAGCATTGTACCCCTAACCCTAACACACGTGTCACCCCTATGGTTTTACCCAAGAAAATGAGCTGCTATATAAAGTACATACATAAATGGTGCTTAAACATGAATGCATGAGTGATAATAATCAAATGATATGTTAAGTAATATCATTAATTATTCTATATACATTTACAGGAAACATTTTCTGCATGGAATACGTTTAATTTTGATAGTCTAAGGCTACATTTTCCTGGTGATTCTTACTTTTACTGAAGTAACATTTTGAATGCAGGACTGAAGACATTGTGGTATTGGTACTTTTACTTATAAGTAAATGATATAAGTTTTTCCTTGTAATTATACTGTCTGAAAAAACTCAGGTCGGCCCTTTAATGACGCACTGCTTACGCACTTCCCGGAAGTGCAGTGGGGATATAGGCCCCATCGGTTCTACACAACTGCACACATAAGCACTTAATAATAATAAATCTGTGTTTGTATGTCATGTTCATGGAGTACTACCGCTAATGCATATGGAGTGTCAAGAGGAAAAGCCAATCATCTATACTATGGAAAACAAGCCGATTGTGACATGTAAGTTTTCTTGAAGGAGACGTTTAGTCTTTTTCAGATCTTGACAGTTAGCCTGTTAGCTATATTCACTAGCTCCTTTTAGCTAAGCTAGCAGGTATACTTACATTGACTAATTTGGAAACGCAGCGCGTGTAAAGCACTTGGCACCTTAACCTCTACTTGTCAAGGTTTTTATATCTTGAAACTTATATAATACAACGCTGTCTGGGCTAAATGTTGATATGGGAAGTGACAACCTTCTGAACTAGCTTGAAACTACATTGATTAGCAGGCCTAGCTAACGATATAACGTTAACGTCACGGCTAGTTGCTTCAGGTTTGGGAAAGATATCACCTTGTTTCCTGCAGGACAGCCAGTTTCCTCTGTTAGAAGCTCATACAGTGGTCGTCACATGCTGAACGGTGGGGTTGGTTTGCCATTCATAAATGGAATAAGTTATGGTAGATTCTTGTAAGGGTTATTTTAGGAGGTGAACGGCGGTGGATGCCAGCTTCACCTCACACTGCAGGCAGCTCCATTTTTAGGACAGAGTGGTCCAGAGGTGCCCCAGTACAAGAATAGTAAGGGACTGAGAAGTCAGAATATGAAGGGGAAACATAGCTTTACCAGTTCTGATTCGAATCTCAGTCGCAGGTTGCTCAACGTGGGATCCAGGAGCACCTGTGTTTCCTGAGAGGTTATGGTGTCCTGACTCAGTTGTATGCCTCTGAAGTCATTGTCGTTATATTAATGATGATTTGAGTCAAACATAAGCGACTTAGTCCAAAAATAACACCAAGGAAGCCTGTCATGTTGCATAGCCACTTCATAGTCTCCAAAAGTCTGTGACAGAAATAATTGGTATCTCGTTTAAATCATTGTGGTAATTCTCATAAAAATTAGTCAAACTACTACGAGCTCTCTGGTTCTCAAATGGCAGAACTGGCTTCTTTTCTCAGTCTTATACCAAAGTCAACTGAACCTTTAGGTTCTAGACCTTTGGTCAGACCCTGGGCTATGTAACTTGTGGCTTGCAATGTTGCTACACTTTCTTTGTTTAGGTTGATTGCACTGTGAGATGTGGAGACTATGGCCATGTTTTTTCCTATTAAAAAAGTTAGCATGTGTTGAAACATTGATTTGTAGTTTATGAGTAAAAGCTTTAATCAGTGCAGTGTGCATTCCTCTGCTCCTTACTTTTTCATGTATCCCAGCAAGGTGAGCATGATGATATGAGTTGTATCTCACCCCTTATGTAAGATTAACTCTCGCGGTCACAGCTCAGGGATTATACTGGTGTTTGTTTTGCAGGGTTTTATGTAACAGCAGCTTTTGAAAGTCTTTGTGGGCATTCAAAGTTCAATTTTGTTTGGAGCTTTCAGCCTTAAGTTTCTGGAAAGATTGTCATAAACTGATGCAAACAGATACATGGACTAAATGTGTACACTGCTACATTTTATCAGTGGCATTCATTGTCCAGCTTCCACAGTGTTATTAACTACACTGGTTGAGTGACCACTTGATATTTTGTCACTGCTCTGATTGTACATGCATATTGCTCTCGTGGCATAAAAGGTTAGGTTAGTGATGTTTTATTCCTGTCTAGGTGGCATTAAAGCTAATTGAACGACACAGTCAAATTGTCAGCACAGGGAAGTGTGTTGGCCAAGCTCACTGGATTCACAGAGAAATGACTGAGGTTTAAGTGTTTACTTAGTGCAGGATGTTCGAGTGTGTTTTACATCCATTCTGGGGGAACAGTGTAGAGCTGGTTGCTCTGTTTACCTTTTGAGCAAGAGCTTCAGAGTATTAAAAGGGCTTTTAATATGGTTCATAGGATGTGGTGGCCTAATGGCTTTATCAAAATACACACATCTACAATGAATGGCACAGGGCAATGACACTGAAAACCGAAGTCACTCTACTGTTGAGCTGGACTGGAGAGCCTGCAGGAGGGGTCCATAGGGTTGGTGATAATTAAAATCAACCCCAGATGTGGATCTGCACAGCATAGGATGCTTAAGGGAGAGTAGACAAATGGACTAACTCTCATTTACAAGCGTTTACCAGCTGAGGTTCTACATTGTACAAACACTCAAAGCTGGACTTAAGCACCTTAATTTCCTAGCCATATTTTCATTTTGTGCTGTGGCTGAGCAGATGTGTTCCTACACCGAGTTCAGAGGGATAGCTCCAGTGAGGTGTGCTCAACTTTGTAATCTGCTGAGAAAGAAACAAATGCTTGTCTTCCCAGTGGGAATGGCTGATGTAGTTTATGGGGCTGAGGCTCTACACAGTAATAGGCAACAAGTTTTATTTTATTGTTTCCCCTGCAATAAATATGAAAGTTGGATCATACTCAATAACAAGCGTTTGCTTTATTTTGCAAGAAGAGAAAATGTCTTGGGCCACCTGGCCTTCATCAGTATCCCAATCTCACAGTACAGCTGCTTCTTTAAACATTACTTGCAGGTGAATCCTCTTGAGATAATTATCCTGCACCTGGTTAAGTAGTCATTTTTTGCAGTACATTTTACTGTTGTTGTGCAGAGGACACTGACCCCTCTGCAGTCTGATGCATGGGCAAACTGGCCTGGTGAAAACTCAACACCATCCTTGCTGCATTCTCAAAAATGCAAATCATATCTCAGCCTCACCTTGTGTACCAGATCTGTTCTATGTCTGTGGAAAGTACTGTCAGAGGTTTTTGTCTAAATAGGTACACTTCATGCCCAGTCATGACACACCAACTTGGAATTCCCTCCAGGCTTACTGCTGCGTTGGAACCCAACTGTGTTGATCTTGAAAACATCAGCATGATGATCAAGAGCAAAAAGGGTCAAAAATGCTCTTTTACTAATTTTACAAGAGCAAAAATGAAACGTGATATTTGCATTAAATGTGCACTGAATTTTGATCTTAATGTCTTATTTTTTTCAGTGTGTCAGATTTTTAATATTGTTTTTTTAGTGTTTGTGTCCTTTTCATTTTGTAACCACCTTTCAGTTTAGTCTGTGGGTCAGCAAACATTTTCTCATTATGTACTGGATTTGGCCACTGATGTCCGTTATGTCTCTCTGACACGTTGTCCTGGAGTAGTGAAATGTGCCTCAGTGTAACAGAATCACTCACTTTTAGCTCAGTTTTTCTCCTCCAACATGCTCATTCTCTTAGGTTCTGAGGATGGATAGATATCAGGTTTTTCCTGTGAGCTATTCGTTTCTCTATTTTTGACCTATTTTTGAAACGTGTTTTTTTTGTCCCCTCCCCATCCCTCCCTGTCACAGGTGCTGGAGACCAGGGCTTGTTTACATCTCTCTATACCTCACTGGCTCAGCAGCTTCCCAGGGAGCCAATGGAGTGGAGGAGGTAAGTACTGGCCTGCTGAATGCATGTTGGGAAAAAAAACAGTATCAGATATCATTGTAGAGCTTCTCATTAATGACAAGCAGCTCGTAGGCGTAATTAAACTTTTCATCAATCGTTGATTTAAAGCTTGCTGGGTAAGAAATTTGAAGTTATCTGATAGACACCAAATGGTAGGGTTGGGCAGCTGGTGATTTTAGATGACTTATTGATAATGTGCCTGGAGTTTAATGCAACCATACACTGCTCTGTATGATACAAGGATGCTTTCTGTGATAGCTCAGTGGAAATTGTGCTGCAAATGTTGTCTGACCTTGACTTTTATGAGCTGACATGGAAAATATATTCTTTGTTTGGGCTCTTTTCTGTCTGTATTGATATCTCATTTAATTTTATTACCTATGTGCCAACAAATCTGAATGAGACTGTAAAGGGTACTAATGATGAGTATCAAAATGTATGATGTGTCCACCTGGAGATTATTGACCATGACCAGCCAGGATGTCTCTGTACACTGCTGGTCATTTTTGAAGAGTGAGATTAACTTTAGAGAATGAACACAGCCCAAGAGGTTCCTGTACTGGAGATTAAAAGGAAGGATGTGATGTTAAAGAACCACTTTTTAAGCTATTTTAGATACTGGGTTTTAGCAAATTAACAGAATTCATCATCATCATCATCATCATCAACTTTATTTATATAGCACATTTAACACAGCAACAGCTGACCAAAGTGCTTAACACAAAACACAACAATAAAACAAAATTACAACTAAACAACCACCCATCATAAAACAAAAAACAAAACCAAGCCTGATACCGGATCAAATGCCAAAAGATACTGATGAGTTTTCAAATAACGAGGGGGGCCTGCCTGATGTATAGGGGCAATGCATTCTGTAACTTTGGAGCCCTCACAGCCAAATCAAAGTGATAGCCTGACTCAAATAAATGCCTCTGTTAAGGTCTCTTCAGGTGACGGATCTGATTTTGCCTTAAGATTTTTAAACTAAGATCTTGAGAAAGCTGCCAATCCAGCGACATGTTCAAGGGTCAGTTTGTTTCTAGGGTTGTCATGGGATAATAAAGATGAAAGTCATTGTAAACAAATTGCAATTGATCCTACAAAACTCTGCTTCCTTTTCTGTGTAGGACATATGGCCGTGCACCAAAAATGATCCACCTTGAAGCTAATTTTGTCCAGTTTAAAGAGGAGCTCCTGCCTAAGGAGGGCAACAAGGCTCTGCTCACCTTCCCCTTCCTCCACATCTACTGGACTGACTGCTGTGTGAGTAAAAGCTTTCTCTCTCACGCACACACCCACACACACCCACAAACAGACTCTGGACTATAAGGTATTGCATTGTGCATGTAGTCTTGTTTAAAAAATGTGCAGCTCTCACTCACAGCTCGGCCATCCTACTTGTGGATCAGGTGGAATGAAGGCATATTAATAAATTCTGCAGTCTATTATTAATCCTCCTCTTTTTCAGCAACAAAACTGCACCTTTTGGCAAATTGTGCCACTGAACTCCATCCATTTTGTCAGACATGTTGTTCTCAGCAGATCAAACCTCCAGTTTATTACCTCCCAGTCTCTGTGGTCACTTATTTTGTGTTTCACTGTTACGATACTGCAGATGCTGTTATTGTGTAATTGTCTGTGTTTGTTGTGTGACAGTTGTACAAATAGTTATTTGAGGTTTGGGCGTTATCTAAGGCTGCATTTAGGCTTTAGATCAAATTACTGTTAAGGCAAATCGCAGTTGTCTGACACCATAAATATAAAGGCAAATCATCGACAAGACTCTTATTTTGTGATTAGTCATGATTCCATAAACAATGAGTCATTACAGAGAGTCAAAGCACAGTTAGGGTACTTAATGTTGTTGCTGCCTGATGAAATATTCTGTCCAGAAAGTTGGAACAGCAGGTGCTTGAGAAGCATTGTTTATTCCATCTTTTTGCAGGATGGACAAGGCCATCTTGTTTACTTTCCAAGAACAGAGTAGTACTTGTAGTTATCGTGTCTGGGTAAAGCTGATCACAGACAGCTGTGTATGGAAACTCCTAATGCATAAGACATGCATGGTATTTGAGTTGAGCTCATGTTTGAAGGTTGATAGACATGCAGGCTCCCCCCCCGTCAACACGGTCATCTGAAAGTAGAATTTTCAAACGTATCTAAGTCATTGCCTAGAAGAAGAAACGAATGTTTTCTGCATGATTGTGCACATGGCTTCACTTGATGCACTTTTCGCAGCCCAAACTGGCTGTGACAGTTGCTGTTGAGGACTGCTTGGTTCAAGTGGGCGGGAGAAAAACAAGAAGGGAAGCAGGAACCTGCTGCTGCTGACTGAGCAGCTGGTTGGTTTAAAAAATGCTGTCATCAGCTCGTGACTCATGAGATTTCCTAAGGACTGTGTGGGAACAGAGAACCTGTGTGTTTATAGACTTGGTAACATAGCATAGCTCTACAGTATTAAAGTTAACAGACCTTCAATAAACACGGTCATGTGAAGCCTACGCTGTACACAGAGAGTCAGTCACACTGCTATCTGCAAGTGAAGGAATAGCAAGAGATGCTTTTGTTTTAATTGTCACTTTGATTAATTCTACCTTAAATAAATAATTTTATGGCTGAAACCTGTGCACTACCTTGGTTTGGTACTTCTGTAAAATTCTAATCTTCACAAAGTGTTGCTGATGGTGCTAATGATGATGCAGATTTATAATAGCATGTATTTTAAATATACTCTACTTTACAAAATCCATGTTTTGTGAGATTAAAAATCTAAAACACGAAGAGCGCAGAAAGGCTGTACAGCACATTGCAGACAAGCTAATCTATTTCATTTGTAGATGAATACAGGCACAGAGCATCAAAAACTTTAAAATCATATATTTTGCCTGCCTATATGTAGGTGGTGCCTTTCTCACTAGTATACCTAGTTTCATAAACCATGTTGTTACAGTGGCAGCAGTATAGTGGAGGCAAACCATGGAATGTAAAATGGCACAGGTTGTCCTGATGGAGGAGGTATAACAAAGCTACATGGAGATTTACAGAGATATTAGACGGTCTGTACACGCCTACACTGTGTTGACAGTATAGGCGGACTGAGAATGGCAGAGAGGCCAGGCCACTGCTTCCCCTTCTTATTCTACAAGGATCAGCAGTTCCTATGCACACAGCATCACAGGAGCTAAGAACAAAGAACAATCAGCCAAGTGTGCGAGGCAGTGGCACCCTCGCCAAATTCATTTAGGTTGTCCGTTGAGAGGACAGCCAAAAAGAAATAATCGGGCATTTTAAATGAAAGTGCCTAAAAATGGGTGTGGACAGTCAACAGAGAAATAATAAAACCACCCCAAACCTTCAGGACATAGTTAAATAAACACTTAAAAGAAAGCACATGTGATCAAAATAAATGCGGCGAGATTCACAAGCCAAAGATGAGCCTACAAACTGTAACTCCCAGATCAGGTAAAACCAGGGCTTTAGTTAATAATATATTCTACCTCTCCTCAGTTTAAAGCAAGTTCTAGCCTTAAGTCACAGTCATTTACAACAGTATCACAGCGTTCAGCATCCTACGTTCTTAATAGGATTAGATGGCATAAAATGGAACTCTGCTGATCAGAGATCATTTTTGCCAACCTCCAACCTCCTGCTGCCAGGAGTAATTTGCTAAGCTCTGCTGTGATGAATCAGACCACAGTTCTTATTTCATAATACTCTGTAACTGTTCACTGGAATTGACGTTTTCCATGGTAAATTTAAATGTCCTTACAATGCCTGAGCAATAAATGGACTGTGCTTGATTGTAGGATACAGAGGCATATAAGAGCTCAGTAAAAGAGGACATGATGCGCTGGCAGAACAGCTTGCGGGCCCACGGCTCAGCAGACTGGGTCATCATCGTCGTGGAGGCCAACGATACTAAGAAGAAGAACAAGACCAACATCCTGCCGCGGTCGTCTATTGTGGACAAGATCCGTAGCGACTTTTGCAACAAACAGAACGACAGGTGAGCAAATTGTATCCATTCAAAGAACAAGAGATGGTAGACAACAAGAATGGGTGGCAGCCTGGTTTTATCAACACAGTATGAACATCATGAAAGGCACTGCCATAGTAAAGACTCTGCTGCTGTGAAATGCTCCTGAAGACAAATGGGAATCTTGCTTAGGTTTAAAATGGAGTGACCCATCAATACATTTGCTTGCAAAGTTTCTAGAGTATGAACAAAACTCACTGCTAAATATGTTAAACCATGATGATTCAGCCTTCCTGGTGTAAATGAAAGTTATTTCCTCTGTGATGCAGGTGTGTGGTGCTGTCAGATCCTCTGAAGGATTCGTCTCGGTCTCAAGAATCCTGGAATTCCTTGTTGCTCAAGTTGCGAACTCTCCTCCTCATGTCCTTCACCAAAAACCTGGGCCGCTTCGAAGATGACATGCGTACGCTCAGAGAGAAACGGACCCAGCCTGGCTGGAGCTTCTGTGAATACTTCATGGTCCAGGTACCTAGAAAAGGAACAGGCATGTGGATTTTGATTTTATGACTGATTGTATGCAACAAAAGTGAAGTAGACGGGGTGTCGTGACTGAAAGGGCATACAATCTCACATCCCTTTAATTCAACTACACCGTTTTCTGTTTAAATACAGACGACATCAAAGGTCACAACAAGTTCCTCACTGTGACGTAGAGGGATTCTGTGTTGGTGGTGTTGATGCTGTCCTCTGACTCTGCCTGATGTGCAGTTGTTGATTATGGTGCTAAGGTGTTCAGTGGTGTCTCATCTGTGTGTGTGTTGTGCAGGAGGAGCTGGCCTTTGTCTTTGAAATGCTACAGCAGTTTGAAGATGCCTTGGTCCAGTATGATGAACTAGATGCTCTTTTTACTCAGTATGTCCTTAACTTTGGAGCTGGTGGTAAGTAACTACCACCCAATACTGTTATTCCCAATATGGTAGTCGCCTTAAAAATAAACAAGAGAATTTTGTGCTTGTGTTTTCTGTCCATTCTAGCTTTAGCTTTGGTCTGACTAGTCGGTTTCTATCCACAGATACAGCTAACTGGCTCGGCTCTTTCTGCGCTCCAGTACGCAGCTGGAGTGGCCTGCTGCTTCGGCGGCCAATTGACATGGAGAAGAGGGATGGGATCCAGCGAGGCGAGGCCAGCCTCTTGGATCTGAGGAGCTACCTGTTCTCCCGCCAGTGCACCTTACTCATCTTCCTCCAGAGGCCCTGGGAGGTCACCCAGAGAGCCCTGGAGCTGCTGCACAACTGTGTCCAAGAGCTACACCTGCTGGAGGTAAACAGACTCCTACAGGGCACTTTTTCAGAAAACATATGCTTTACACAAGTTGAATACCACAGTCCTCAGACTGGTTTGAACAACACAACCCTACTACCGTACAGCTGATTGAACTAAATGTGTCACTCACTCACTCTTTGCTCAGGTGCCGGTTCTGGAGGGGGCGCTGGACTGCTGGGTTTTTCTCAGTTGCTTGGAGGTTCTGCACAGGATTGAGGGCTGCTGTGATCAGGCTCAGTTAGCTGCAAACTGCTCCCATACTGTTGGCCTCTGGGCTTACGCAACTGACAAGGTAACAAAAATATTGGATGATATAGCTTTGATAGCTTGTGTCACATTCAGAATGTGCCATGGTGCCTTTTAGGGAACCGGATTAACTTGAAAAGTTGAAATAAAAATGGACCTTGATAGAAGCTCTCACTACCTTCACATATGAACATTTTGCAGGTCTTAACGTTATCTGCCTCCTTCAGGCTGTAAAGAGTGTTAACAGTGTGTTGATATGTAGCATTCTGCTGTGCAGTGTTGTGCTAAAATCCTACATTAGTCTTTCTGTGCTTAGTTTGTTAATATTAGAGCTCTAGAAAATACTGCCTTGTTCTTTTACTCATTCACTTAAATAACGGGCAGTAAATATCTGGTTAAAAAAGACTTTTCTCCAAATAGTAAAAGCTCAAAGTCCTTTGTTATTTTTTCTGTCTTCTCCAGCTGAAGTCCCTGGGGGAACTCTGTGGCCTGGTGTCAGAGAAGGGACCCACATCTGAGGACCTGAACAGGACTGTAGATCTACTGGCCGGACTTGGGGATGAGAGGCCTGAGACCAGTGAGTCCTAAGTTACTTCTGCTGCTGCTGTTACATGAAATCTTCATGAAAGTATTTTCAAGTTCTGCTGGGTGGTAATGAGAACATAATTGCACATTTACAGATTCTAACACTCCCCATTGTTGACATCAGTACATGATTTGTGATGGAGGACCCTGATGCGTGGGTCTTTGAGCCGTGTTCCTCACCTGTTGCTTGTATTTTTAGAGTGTGTCCTGCTCCAGTGGATTTACTTAGCCCTGATTGGTCCTCAGCTGCAGTACAGTTGGTGCAGGGCTGTGACTGACTGCTCGACCTATGATTTCACTCATTTAGTGCAGATTTGTCTCATCTTTTGCCTGCACCTTTTTTCCAGGAGGCAAGCATTGGCTGAAAATGCCAGATCCAGTTACAATGCTAGTTCCAACCTTTTAACACTGTGGGTTCAGTTGTACCTTTATATCAGCAGACATGAAGCAACGCATCAGTCTGTTTGTGTTGGCACAAGTTCAGTGAGGTATGTTAGGGTCTTTAGGGCTTGAATTGTCCCTTTACTGAAAGCAGCTTGTACTATAGGTCCATTTATGTTGATGAAGGCGTAATGAAGAAGCCTGAGTCTTATTTGAAATACTAACTGAACAGAATAACTGTCTGGCTTGTTGTAACTCCCCTTTGTCTTTGTCCACAGTCAACAGTTTGCAGAGCCCTTACAAAAAGCTGAAAGAAGCTTTGTCGTCTTTGGAGGCTTTTGAAAGGCACTATCTTGTAAGTCGGTTCCTTGCCATACCTTGTATTTCAGCAGCTGATAAAGCAGGAAGTTAATTCACATTCTATGGACTCCTGTCCCATTTTTATCAGTATTTTTTCTGATGAACTCTTTAAGCAGTTCATTTGATTATCTTTCTCCTCCCTTCTTCCCTTCTCTCTCCCCCTATGCCTCCGGCACCAACCCATGTATCAGGAACTCTCTCACGCTGCTATGGAGATGTACAGGGCCATCAGCCGGCTCAGGTCTGCCAGACTAGTGGGAAAAAGCCTGGCTGAATTCTACATGTAAGGAACATTGCAGCTGCTTGTTCAATTAGGGTTGATATGCTGGTCTCAAAGATGGCTTGTACTTATTCTGGCTTATTAGGCTTCATCAGTTAGTGCTTATAAACATCCACGCAGTCATGAGGAGATTTCTAATTAGAGTAAATGAAAACCCTATTGAGGTATTATGGCTGTGACAGGGCTTTAAAATAGATATGAAGCCATGAAAGTGCAGTAGTATCTCATCATAAAAACAAGGACATGAACTGTCCCATTGCCTTTGGCTGAACTTGGATGTCAGGTGACATCTGTCATCCTTCTGTTCATAATATCAGCTGACGCCAAACACCAGCCATTAGCAGACGGGCACTGTTTTTTACATGTACAGCTACAGTAAGGTGTTGACATGTAATTACAAATGATCTTAAAGGGGAGGTGACCAATATAGGCAACATTTACATTGTCTGCATTCACTTTGGTCTTATAAAGTTTATTTAACTTCACAGGTAGCATTAAAAAGATGTTATCATGAATGCATCCCGTTCTTTTATATAGGTTTGAAAAACGAAGATGATGAATGTGTCTGTGTGTTTCTTAGGAGGAAGGGAGACCCTGAGCGGGCTGAAACCTTCTTACAGGAAGCTCTGAAGTCGTACGTATCTGAGGGGTGGAGCCTCCCTGTCACTCACACCAGGAAACAGGTTGCAGAGTGTCAGAAATTGCTGGGCAGAACTGAGGAGTATCCTTCACGGCATCAACACCGACACAGTCGCACACAAAGGTCCTATGTAGCTGGTTTGTCGACTTTCCAGTGGTGCAGACACTAATTTGTAACAAGGAAAAGGTTTGATAAAGAATTGCACATGTACTTTTCTTTGGTACTGAAAGATTGACACCTATGCTTGAACACCTTAAGGGCAGTTATTTTCTTTTTGGAGTGAAAGTGTAGTTGATCTCATTCATTTTTTGTGGGTTGTATTAACCTTTTAATGACATTAGGAAAGAAATATGGTAATCACAAATACCGAGCTTTGTGATGGTCTATATTTATTCCCTGTGTTCACCTGGAAAAAGGTGAAGTTCGGTTCTTTGTTCCTGCACCAGTGGGTTTCCTTTACAGGCAACCACAGCTACCTACAGACCAGTGCCTTGTTGGCTGGTGATGTCAATCTGACCATGGAGGAGAGGAAGCACTTTTGTCAGGAAATTCTAAATTTTGCTGGGAAGTCTGCAGATCACTGTAAGTGATTATGGTACAGTACTGGTAAACGTGCGACACCTCTTAAAGGAAAATACCACCATATAAAGGTTATATCATCAGTCTCTGATATTCAGTGCTTTGTAAGGGTTGTATAGTTTTAGTCTGTTATCACTTCCAGTAAACAACTTAACTACTGGTCTAAATCAATATGCAAATGCAGTTAATCATAGTAAAACTAATTCTGATGATAACAACAGGTCTTGTTGTCTGGCTCCACAGCTCACAAACTGACTCTCAGCATGGGCGTGTTTGCCCAGCTCACACGGCTACAGTTCCATCCAGCTGCAGCCTCTGTGCACTCCGGAGCGGCCCTGCAGGTGGAGCTCACTCTGCAATGTTTGATGCCCATTTCTGTGCGCATACAGGAAGTAGCTGCTAGTATTCATTTTGATGTGGATCATGGAGGGACACATGGAAGGTCTACGGGAGTTCAGAGACAGACGAACCCAGGGACAGTAGAGTTTCACCAGGGGAACCCATCAGTGGGCCCCCCCTCCTCCTCGACCGCAGGTCCGTCTTTAGAACTGGATGAGATCCAGGACAGGAGTCCTTCGGACAATTCTCTCAACTCCACAGGACTGATTTGTAAAAACGCTCACCTGTTTGTGCGTCGTCATGACAACAGCTCGCTGCCGGACACGCCCAACTGTGTCAGCCCTCCTTCAGTTGTAATGAAGGAAGGAGCACAGATGCTGAAAATGCAGGATGTCACATTAAAGCCTGGGAATAACAGCATCATCTTCACAGCACCAGTAAGACACACACTGCTGCTGCACTATAAAAGGGACCTTTTGAAAAAATTAGCCACTTTATTTTCAACAAAAGCTTTTTTCATTTGTCTTTTTCACTCTTCCACTCTCTCTCTTTGCTAATCTGTTTCACGAAACGCCCTTATTATTTGCTTACTTTCTGTCTTTTGCTCTGTCCCTCTTTCCTCTGTAGAGTGGACAACCAGGTACTTACACGTTGCGTCAGCTGTGTGCCACGGTGGGTCAGGTGCAGTTTGTTCTGCCTCATATCTACCCCTCAGTCCAGTATGAAGTGTATTCTCAGGAGCCCCAGCTCACGGTGGAGCCTCTCTCAGGTGTGATACTGGATGCTTTAAATCTGAGCTTGTTCCATTGGTCACAGTTCTCAGATTTATTTGTTTGTAGTTTTACTCAAGGACATGAATTTCACTAGACAAAGATTCAGAAGCATTTATTCTTAAAATTCATTTTGATTTCTTAAAGTAGGAGCTGCACCATGCTCTTCCTCTAATTGATCAGATCAAACTATGACACACAAGCCCAGATGCACACTTTTTATGTGACTCTCTAGAATAAGTTAGATATGCTTGTGTAACAGCTCTTGAGTCTTGGGAAACTGAGTGTAGCTTGTATTCTGTATTAACTTAATTATTCAGCCTGGCAAGTTATGATCAGATCTGAATGTTTAACAACTCATGTTGAAGTTTTCCCTGAGACACAGCCTGCATCAGATGTGTTTCTACTGCTCTGATTATCACCAAATCACATTTATGATCATGTATAACTCACAAGTTATCATTGCTGCTCACTGTAGTTGGTTGTTTTTGTGTTTTCAGAGCCGCTGTTAGCTGGTCTGCCTCAGACAGTGAAGTTCACTCTGCTGACGGGTCACTACAATGTGAAGAAAGGAGTAGCTCTGCAGCTCAGCAACACCGACACCATGCCCATCCTGCCCTCCACCACCTGTACTGCCCGCATCAGCAACCCTGCTGCTGGTCTGTACACATTTGGAAAGCTTTATCTGAACCAACCAATTAACTGCTGTTTTCTCTAGCAACCCAAAGAAGCCGTGTTTCTTGTGTACACAGTGTTTATAAGATCAGGTTCCCACATATAGATAACCACAACCAGGTGTTTGGATATGTTTAATTGTGCTGGCTGACACACACACACACACACACACACACAACCGTTAAGTTCACATGGCCTCCTTTTCTGTCCCTTTGTTGTGTTCAGAGCTGGTGGATGAAGGCGTTCTCTCCATCCAGTCATCTGAGAAGGTGACCAGCATTAGCCTGCCCCCGACCCCGCCCTACCACACTCTGGAATTCCAGCTTGAGGTTCTGTGCATCATCCCGTCTGGGTCTGAGCGTCCTGCCAATGAGAGGCTGACCAACGGGGAAGTTCGTCACCGACCGCGCAGCTACAGTCATCCTGACACACCCATGACTGCCATCGACCAGAGAGTGAGGCCTTCTCACAAATACACACTTTTAGAGATGAGTTACAACTCCTGTGCTCAACTGTGATTTTTGTATCTATACAGTGTCTGATATCAATGGATTGAATGTTCTAGAGCTGCAACGATTAGTGGTTCTGTACTTGTATAGTGCTTTTCTACACATTGAAGTGCACTCAAAGCGCTTTACACTATTTCACATTCACACACTGGTGATGTCACAGGGAGCAACAGCGTGTTGCTCAAGGACGCCTCATCATGTGGAGTGAAGTAGCCGGGGATCAAATGGCCGATGCCACGATTAGGGAACAGCCCACTCCACCTCCTGAGCCACAGCCACTCCAGATTATACTAGATTAGTGAATCGACAATCATTGTGGTAGTTAATGAAGAGTTTATTTTTCACTCAACAAAGGTCCAGCTTCTCAAATATGAGGGTTTGTTGCTTTTTCTGGTTTTTCATTCAAATGAATTTAGGGTTTGGGACTATTTTAACATTTAATGGAAAAACTTTGGGCTTTTACTGTTTTGTAATGTTTTGTTAAACCAATGGATCAATTGATCAGTATGGATCTAGTTAGCTTTTTTGTGCCATGATATGTGAAGAGCTTTGTTAGTAAAGTCTTGCTGGGGTCTGTCTGCAGATGTCTATCGACTGTCCATGGTCGATCTACTCCACGCTGCTTGCCCTGACTTTCTACATCCCCTTCAAGGCCAAACACTCACTGCTCTGTGCTGGGAACAGGTGAGTCTTCATTCTCATAACATGCCTGTATGTGTCACAAAAAGAAAATGGATATATTTTGTGACTTCATCAAAATCTAAAATTCCAGGTATGTTTATCCATGAGATGTTCTGCAGAAGTTCCTCTTTCTTATAAAAGCTTTGAATTACAAGAACCTACAGTTTACTTGTCTAATATTGGCATAGCATTCTTGCCGTAGACAAGTTCCAACCTACTTGCACATTTTTCTGACCTGACTCCACAGGAAGTACATCCAGGTGTGTGTGCAGAATGTGTCCGACATGAACTTCATGCTGGCAGGAGTGAAGCTGACAGAGAAGCAGCACGTATCCCTGGAGCTACAGTCCCTCAACACTAAAACACAACAGGTCAGTGACTGCAGTAGCTTCCAGTTACAGTATGTTCTAATATTTATGGTTAATTATGGGGACATACGCACAGCTGAGCTGTAGGGAGAGGCAGAGCAACTCCAGTATCGGGAGCAAAGTGGGATTTAAAGTGACTGACTGATGGATCAGGAATCTGCAAAACGTTTTACTACTGAATCTGAAAACCTGGATCAGGAATCTGCTAAACGTTTTACTACTGAATCTGAAAACCTCAGTGTGGGCAGGGCCCTGTTTATCACAAACACTGTTAACACAGGTGTGGATGCAGACTATCATTATACATCGCCAATGTCAAGTCTACATCAACCACTGGTTCACATTCTTCATATTGGCATTTGGTGTGTTTGTTGTGCACATAGCTTTTGTGCAATAAGCACAGTATGTTCTGCCTGTGGGAGGTGAGATGGAAGGACGATCTGCCCTCCTGTCTCCAGTGTGTTTTCTCTGCCAACTTCGCTCCCCTCAACCAAGACGTCTCTGCATTCAAACCCTTCCACTACCAGTTCCAGCTCGAGAGAGTCACTGTAAGTGCACATAAACATTTCTCTTTGTTTGTTTCCACTGTGCTCTGACTGTGACGTTAGCAGCTCAGAGCTCTAGACCTTTTTGGAACAGGGATGCTGAACATGTACATTTTGAGTTGATCTAAAACATTCAGACTTTCCCACCATAAATAACCACTTGGTATTGTCAGACATTGTACAGTGTGAGAGCTGAGATCCTGCCTCCTGCCGGTGAGCAGCACTGTCGTTCTGGTCTCCTCTGTGGGCTGGAGGTGTGTATAACACGACTGACTGAGCCTGCTGAAGGAGAAATGGCAGACGAGAAGACGGACACTGACGGCCTCAGATCCACCAAACTTATGTATGAAGGTGGGTTGGGAGAACAGCTTATTAGCTAGGAGGACGGACAAGCTAAATCAGAGAATTGAGCTTTTTATCCTGTAGCCCAGCTTTGCAGCATTTTAAAGTAAATAAAAAAACATTTTAGTTTCTCAGCATCACTTAAATCTCCAGTAACTCCAGTGGTTATTCATTCATAATGGAAAAAACTGTTTTTATTGAAGGAGATAGTCTAAACAAATTGAATGACCCAGAATGTGCCGAGAGCAACACGATTCCTGGATTAGTTTGTTCATTAGCTGATTAGTCAGTCAACACTAAATAATCAGCAATAATTTTAATAAGTGATTACCATTTTATTTACATGTGTTTTAAACAGGTAAACATTTGGAGGTTCCAGCTTATTGTGTGTCCATTTGTGTGTCCAGAACAAACATGAGCTCTTTGTGTATGTGTGTCCACAGTGGCTGACAGCAGCAGTAACTGGGCGGTGTGTGGGAAAAGTTCAGGGATGGTGTCAATGCCTGTTACGGCCAATGCCACCCACAAGGTGCAGATCGAGGTGATGCCTCTGTTTGCAGGACACCTGCCCTTCCCCAAGATCCAAGTGCTGAAGTACCTGCCTCACACTGCATCAGTGCCCATTCAGCCAGACCCAGGTGAGACCCCTTAATGGAAAAGAACACATCCTTGTACATGTTGATTCCACAGTGAATGAATAGAGGCTTTAACTTCCTTGAAAACACTAGATGCACTCTCTTTGAATTTGCTGTCATCCCATGTTATGTAGCAGTAACAGCAGGGAAAACCACTTTAATAGGATGCAAGCAGCAGGTACAGCGCTGAGTCTCTGTCAGCTGATCATCCAGCAGCAGCTGGGTGTGTGGCAGAAGCTGTGAGAATGCTGCTTATTGAGATGTCCCAGAAGAGAAACAGGCAGCAAAACATTAGGTAAAGAGCATATTAACCTCCTTAAACGACTGCCAGGCAACTTTGGACAACTCGCAAACAAACGGTACACAATAAGCAAACTGAGTTTAAATGGACTGGAAGCCACTCGTCTGTGTTTTCAGTAACTCTAAAAAGCCTTTTCCATACACACCTTCTGCAGCAACAAGGAGATTCAGTTTTTAACAGATTATATTTAAGTAGGGTTTTGTTTTTTTATAATTCTGAGTCCCAGAGCGACAAATGTTGGCAGTTGGACTCAAACCTTGCAGCGTCTTTATACGGTGTGCTGCTGAAACGGCCTGGTTACTGGGGCACCACCAACTTTTAACATTCTACTTTACAAACATTTCTTTCAAATCACTTTGCTAGAACTGGGGCTTAGTTTCCAGCCTCTCACAGCTTGTGTTGGTCGACCTGTTGGACTGTTCATCAGTGCATCCTCAGAGAATGTAATAGTTATAATGGCCAAATCTAAAAGCTTCAGACCCACAGTGTAAAAACAAGGTCCTTTCATTATATTAGCTGAACCTCCGCTGACTTGTTGATCGTACTCATCCTGTGGACGGTCACTTATTTCTTTGTTCTTTGCCGTCCTCAGACAGCTGCGTTGAGAACGACAGCCTGTCCCTATTGGACAAAGCACTGGATGACCAGGGGGACACTGCGAGTATCCGCAGTCGGGGAAGCGTCCACTCTGTGGGCAGCGGTGACCAGCAGCAGAAGGGTGTGGCCATGCCACGCCTGGAGCCCTTCAGCCCTGGACAGGTGTTTAACCACAGTCACGCACAGCAGGTCCTAGTGCTGCCCGCCACTGATGACCACATCATGGAGGTCAATGCTACATGACCCTGATGGTGAGACAACCCCACCAATTGTTATAGGACTGAACCTAGGCCCTGGATGGACTCTGCAGAGCTTTTGTTCCAGGGCAGATGGGGTCCATGAGTCCATGTCGAAGACCGCTGCAGAGTGCCCATATGGACTCCTCCCTAAGCATGAACCATTCACATCACTGGAGACATAATGGACCAGACACAGTGAAGAGCCAATGATATCTGCTGATAACTTTAAATAAAGATTTGTTTTCTTTGCCATACTTTGTACATAGCTCATTGGATGGATTTAGAGTTATAAATATATATATATATGGACTGACCAATCAGATCGCCAGCTGTTGTGCTCCTTCAAACTGAAGAGTGCCACTCCTGATTGCCCCGTGATGCACCAAAGCCCTAGAAGTGTGTGATCAGCTCCTCAGGCACTGTAACTTTCACTGAGTGTGTCCAGTTTTAAGTGCTGATCCTGTGCCTCTGTTAGTCGCCATTTTTATATTTGAGATGTTTGTGTTAATGATTACAGTCTAGTTGCCGAAAGAAGCAGCTGTTCTTTTCACCAGAAGTCCACACTAGGCAGGCTGAAAACCTTTAACGCACCTCTGGAGACGGATCCATGAGCCAGTCCAGCTAAACATGACAACATTGATATTCTGCTACAGTTTAAACAAATCCTGCTACAACTTTGTTGCTTGTCAGTCATAATAACAGCTGCATGTTTTTGTTGACGTATTTACATAAAGCACCAGAACATTGATGAAGTCCTCCACAGTAGAGGTGTGGTTAAAATCATCTGATATAACTGAAACTGTACATGACTGTATTCTAAAAATGACTTTTATTACATGTTTACAGCAAAGAGAATAGTTTTTGTACTGGCATCATAGATTGATTCTGAATCTGTCTTCAACAATGCAGTAACATTTATTAAATAACTTTGTTTTATTTGACACGAGCAACAAGTCAAATACAAACGGCATAAAACTCTCAAATATAAAGTGACTGCTGGCAGAAGAGGCTCAGGTGGAGTCTAGTCATGTGTGTCGTGTGTACCTGTCCAGGTGTTGTGTGTGTGTGTGTGTGTGAGAGAGAGAGGAATGGCCGGTGCACGCTATCGTCCATCTGTTGTCTCACCTGTTTAGTAGATTGTTCATATACGGTGTGTGTATATTTATTGTGTGTGTGTGTGTTGGGGGACATGTATGTGCGCTGCCAAATCCGTGTCCGAGCTATGCACACAAATTGTTCGATGCTGAATAGATGAATGAAATAAGTCTATTGGATTTATTTGTTTATTTAAGTGTCAGCTGCTTCTGCCCTTTGCCCTCCTCCCCCTCCCCTCCACCCTCTCCACCCCCGGCGCACACACACAGTGTGACTCCAGCTTCCTGCTATTGTTTGACCACTGTACATACTGATCTGTATATACTCCACATCATCTTTGATTGCCAACTCTATTAAAAAAGACCATTAGTGCGGGCTCTCTGCATGATGTGTGTAATAGCATGGTAGCTATAGTGTAGTACGATTCTTCTGCTCTCAGGCTTTTCTCAGGACTTGATCTCTCCTGGCTTCCATGGAGCCACAAGAACATGAGTGATGAGGTCTGGCGCACAGTCAGTGTTCCAGTTCATCCCTACTGGGTTCCACACAGAACTAGAAAACCATTTCATTATGGTCCTGGCTTTGGTGTATAGGTGCATTGTCATGATGAAAGAGGAGAAGGGGCCACACAAAGACCTGCCACAAAGATACAAGTATATTACTGCCTAGAATATGTAGCAGCATTAAGAACTGATGGTTTGAGCAGAAATGGTTTAAAAAGGGCTCCTTTTTAAACAATTGGTTTATATAGACCAGTTGTAGACTGGGAAGATGTGGCAAGAACAACAAATGATCACCAGTTATAAAGTGTGGTGAAAATACCAAGCTGGCTGTTTATCAGAAATAGTAAACCACACTAGGAAATCAGCTAAAGATTGTTTGGTTTGTTTTGGGAAAGACTCGTCGTATCCGACTCCCAACCGAGGGTCTACAGTGATCAACTACAGTGAGCAGCGGGCTGCAAAGTAATTTACAGGACGTGGGACACATTTCAGACGCTAGAACTGTTTCCAAACCACTGCTTTATACAAATAACAGGACAAGTAAAATGATGAGTTCAAAACAAATGAACCCTGTGGTTTTGAAAACCTGCTGAGTTACCTGAATGACATCAAATGAACACTAGGTGGTGCCATACACGGTCTACAGGAGCACATCAGGAGTCAGCAGGCGTCTTATCTACGCACTGCTTCAGCTGTGTAAACGTACATGCTGCTGCAGTTCAGTCTTGTCTGGTTGGTGGTAGAGGATGTTGTCTCCTGCTGGCTTTTCAAACTGTGCTCATATCCTCATGTTGACCTTTTCACTGGGACTGGTCCTTTATGAGACAGAAGCCCCAGTGAAAATAGTTTACAGTGAGATTTTCTTTTTGTCCACTGTGTTGGGGTAAAAACAGAAGATTTTAATATACGTTTTATTAGGAATTTGTTTCAAAAGAACAATGTTTGGATTTTTTATTTTATTTGAGTGAAGTCACCCTTTAATCAGTCATTTGAAGTTTTTCATTTCTAACTAAAAGTCATGTGTTTGATGAACCATATATACTGGATGGTGAAAAAGGAGTTAGACTGGTGTCCCGGAACGTTTCACTATATATGTCCTCACCGCAGGGGGTCCGACGGGGGGCTCGGCAGGTGTCTCCTCCCCGTGTGGAATTTCAGAGGACCGGACCTGAGATCAGTTTTTGTGTTCCCGCCCCCCTCACCTTATCTCTGGCCTGTCTGAGCGCCTCTCATTAACATAATTATGCAGCCGCACGCCGGGAGGCTTCACAGGCTCCAACAAACGCCGTGCACGCTTTGGGAGCAACAGGACAGGTGAGACCTGAGCTCAGGAACAATCCAACATGAGGCCCAGGGCGTCTTCTCTGGCGCTGTTAGCAGTGTGTTTACTCGGTGTGAGTGCTGTCTCACACGTGGAGGAGAAGAGGAGCCAGGAGCGGCTCTTCCTCAGCTCCCTGGGGCTTTCCGAGCGACCTCGGCCCGCAGGGAGCCACCAGCCCCGGCTCCACGTCCCCTCTGCGCTCTGGAGGATGTTCCGGGCGCCAGGCAACACCCAGGCCCAGGAGGGCGACCCGTGCACGGTGTCAGAGTACGGAGTCCGCGGCAACATCATCCGATATGTACGAGACCAAGGTAGGCAGTGTGGTCGATGGGTGGACTCAGGAACCCAGCTGAGTTTGTTGTGTAATATTAATATCTATCCATCAGATAAAGACATTATCACCAGAGATTAAGGTTTGAAAATATAAATCACGTTTTAAAAGGTAGAATTAAGAGAATCACACTTTTCTTAACAACACATTTAAGTTATTTATATACATTAAACCAGTTGTACAAAGGAAAAACACCTAAGACAATAGTTTGGTGTTGCACTGTGGAGTTTATCTAACGACATAACTTGACAAATTTGTGTTTAAGATCATATTGGACCAGTAACACTGAAATGTTTCCAGCCTGTAGCACAAATTGCACATTTTTATCAATTTTGTTTAATAATTGCTAAAGGTTTCATTATAAAAAGTGTAACTGGTCATGTACATTTGATGTGTTGTTCGTCTGTAGTCGTCTGAAGCTTGGCACACCTTTGGTCACAGGTACAGGAGACGGTGAACTACACTGTCCTTTACTGATCACAGTGTTAGTAAGATGGCAAACCGTGAAAACAGCAGCTTCTTTTTTTGAAAACCCATCGAAGCTTATGACGGCTCGGTGAAAGATTTGTTATTCTCAGGTGTTTGCACTAAATCATGCTGCAAATGTAGCTCAGGAAAAATGTGAAGGGAGTACAACCACAGTGTAAAGTAATTGGTCATGGCAAATTGTTCTTATCTATGCACTTCACTCTCCACTCCACCAAAAAACCCTAAATAAATTCCTGAAATTGTGTAGTTCCTTGTTAAATCCAACCTCCCTGCTGCTATTTGCAGGCAGACCGGTGTCTGGCTGGAGCAGCAGCTGTCAGGCCTGTCTGGAGAAGCAGCTGTTCTTCAACATGTCTGTCCTGCAGCCTGTGGAGCTGCTGTCTCTGGCTCAGCTGGAACTCGGGTTCCTCTGGAAGCCCTTCAGACCTGCAGAGCTTCTGCAGCACCCCCGAGCTCTCAGCATGTCTCTGTACAAAGTGATCAGACCCACACTGAGAGGAGCCGATCCTCAGGCCAATCGAAGACTCCTGGTGTCCCAGTCTGTCTGGTTGCAGCCTGAGCCTAACTCCGTCACCATGAACCTCACCCCGCTGGCAGAAAACTGGCGCAAAGTAGGACACAACTATGGTTTGATTCTAGAGCTCCTGCCTCTCAGCACAGATTCAGAGGAGCTTCTTCCTTTTCAACCGGGTAACGCCCTCATGTTGGAGCCAGCCTTTACCTTTCCACTGATCCAGGCCTCCTTGGTGGTCGTGTCCCTCAACCTCCATCAGTGTCGCTCCAGACAGAAGAGAAGTGCCATCCACCTTCATGTGACGCCCAGCAACGTGTGCAAGGCTCGAAGCCTCTACATTGACTTCAAGGACGTGGGCTGGCAGGACTGGATTATCGCTCCTCAGGGCTACATGGCCAACTACTGCCACGGCGAGTGCCCATTCCCGCTCAGTGAGAGTCTGAATGGCACTAACCATGCCATCCTGCAGACCCTGGTTCACTCCTTGGACCCGCACAGCACGCCACAGCCCTGCTGCGTCCCCATCCGTCTCTCCCCGATCTCCATGCTCTACTATGACAACAACGACAACGTGGTGCTTCGACATTATCAGGACATGGTAGTGGACGAGTGTGGGTGTCGATGAGGTCCTGGGACATTTCTGATTGGTCCCCGGCTATCAGATATCCATCAGTTGTCTTTTAGCTTCTCTGTCCGTGGAGACAGTTTTGAATTGTTGGTAATTATTATCATGTGATGTCTATGAAGACGGGAATTTTGAAAAGAAATTAAGATTTGCATGTGCTTGTTCTCAGGGAAACGTAGACGTTTTTAATATGAAAGCTGATGTTAATAAAAATTCCAAGGCAATATTTTTTCATACAATAATTTGGGTAGAGTTTTTTTTTTTTAAGAATGTGTACTTTTAAACAGGGGGTTAAAGTTTAAATCCAGTAATACTCACTGAAGGTCACATTGCTTGAACACTCGGTCGCTGTTTTAATGACGCATATATGGACAGTTCAACCTTTTTTCTACTCAGATTTGAATTAAATGAATACAATATAAACAACACTATTACACTAGGGGCCATTTGTTTGGTGCAAATCCCACCTACGCACTACAACAGACAAATAAAACTATCTCTGTCCTCAAGGCTGAAAACCATTATAAAGCCTCGTCCGGTTCTTTCCAACCAGGAACTCAGAGGGACGACTCAGACCACTTAAGTATATAAAAAATATATCCGTGCTGGTTTATTCAAAAAGTCACAGGCAAGCATTCACACTTCAAGTCCAGAGATCTTCCAACCCCCAGCCTGCCAAAAGCAGCCCGGAAACAGGAAGCCCCCGAACCAAGCATTGCTATACAATATTAATCCTTTCTGGGCTGTCGAACCGTGACGTCACCCGATAAGCAAGCCTTGCAGCTGCTATAGCATTTAGCCAAAACATGAGGAAAAGTCAAGGTGCGTGACTGTTGTTTTCGTGGTGTGTATCTAAAACAATTGGACATAACCTTACACTTTAAGACAAATATTAAGACTAGCATTACAGTTGACACTAACAGCAGTTTTCCTGTAACCTTGACGTGCCTGCAGTCTGCACTAAACATTCATAGACAACAAATCTCTGAATATCTATCTAACTAAAAAATAACCTAACAATTCTAAACCTACAAAGCATTTAGTGGTTGAATTGTAGAAAATGTACTAAAACACACTTGAGTGTGGCCAAAACACCTCGCGCTTTCCAAAGAAAAGAATACAAGTCAACTAAAACACACGAGTGTGGCCAAAACACCTTGCGCTTTCCAAAGAAAAGAATACAAGTCTGTGTTTGTCATCCTTGAGCAGATTTTGACCATGCAGTTACTACATTAAAGTGCCAAGTCTTTTGAAGGTTCATATTTTAGGGAAAGTGCTTTGCGGTCGATTACATGGACATCAGATGCTTTGTACCTTCCTGGTGATGCTCTCCAAGGCCTTCACCACAGCCACCTTTCGTTTTGCTTGTTGTGGAGTCTCAAAGTTAATAAACCCATTATATAAAAGAGAGAAAGCAGGGATTCCTCTCTTGATCAGCTCAAAGCAGAGAACTTTTTTTTTTTTTGATTAATCAGCTATTAAAATCTTTATCGTAGCCTGAAGGTAAAACCTGTATCATCCTGGAAACAACTACATGCGAGAGCAAAGACATTTCTTCTGTCACATTTAAGTTTTGAAATGCAATCTTTATATAAAGAAGAACAGCTTAAACCTTGATCGTGGTACAGATAAACACAAGAGCAGAAGTTAACCACACAGACTCTCACAGTGAACCTTGGCCTTTAGGCGTCACCGCTGTTTCCCTATACATGTCACTGACGGAGACCAGCTCCTCTTTTATCTACTCAATGAGAAATTAACTCTCTTATCTCACCTTTCTGCCTGATAACACCCCCGCCCCCTCCTCCACTGAGCCAGACAGACCACTGTGGTTGCCGTGACGACAGCTGGTCGCCACGGCAACCGGGGGAGGCTGACAGGATGTGCTAATTAGTGAGAGATACTGAGAGAGTTTGGGGTGTGAAGAAGGAGAGAAGAAGAGACCCAGCGAGCTGAGCTGTAATCTCAGGATATTCTCCTAAATGCTCCTAAAGGTTATGGCAATGTTGCTTTGAAAAGCATGTGTAGTAGCAAGTTTTCTTTTTTTTAAACCTGTTAAAATGCACTGACTCAAATACTAACGTCAGTATTTAAGCCCAAGACGGGGAAAATACAACAACACTATGTCAAACTGACATTAAGTACTAGGAATAGCATAAACATATTTCTCTAAACTACAACTTGCTTCAGGCGTTTTTGTTATCTTTGGTGTCTCAAGTTGAAAATTAAAGTTCTGCTGTGCTTGAACACAGCCTGGCCGTGTATCACATTAGGAAAAATGGAGCCACCCACAGGTATGTTAGGTTACAGGAAGAAGAATTAAAGCTGCTCCACCTAAATTCTTTTCAGCCGCTAGAGAGTCTGGTGAGACTGGAAACGAACCATAAGCTGCTCCTAACTGCTCCTTGCTCCTCCCACCATGTCCTGTTTCCTAGCAGTGACATAAATTATGGATGGATGGTTAAGACAAACTGTTCAAAATGCAGCATCCAGTCCCACGCTAGCATTAGCTGCTGGTTACTGCTAATGTTACACAAAGCTCAAGTTACTCCCAAACTAAAATCATGCTAGGCCACTAATATTGTGTACTGAAGGAAGAACACCATATCTGAATCAAATCCAAGTCCTTTGGCCACTTTTAACTCTCTCCATCTCAACAAACCAAACTGATGTTAACCCTTGGTTTTGCTTTTCCTTTGTCCCACTCTCTCTGTGCAAACGAATGACTGAATTGAATTGACTATGTGCTGTTTGAGGAACACTTCTAATAACGTTTGCTTGGTGGCAGCCGGGGCTAATGAACAGAACATACTTTTTACAGCACACTTTAGAAATGCTGGGATAACAACAGGGCCATAGGCAGCAAAGTGTCCGGGAGGGGGTTAGTATAGCAGAGAGACAATTGTCCTGCTTTCATCTCAGTTATCACTGTGTAAAATCTCAGTTAAAGCATCTTGAAGTGTTGTAAACAGGTGCATAAGAAATTATTCAGAAGAGTAAGACCAAGTGTTTTGAAAATGCAATGTTTTAGTGTCATTTGATGAAGGTTAGTAGTAGTAGGTACATTATTGATCCCACATTGGGGAAACTTAGGGAAGGTTCATGAGTGAAACAGTAGATTTTCTATAAACAGTCATCAATCTGGGTGGGAATTTACTTTCCTTTGAACAGTTTTGGAATTGAACGTTACAGCAGGAAGACGCAGTCATCACTCAAAGCATCAATGAAAAGAATGTGGGTGAAGTTAAACTGCTCATTTGTAGAGGTGTAGATTATACATAACCTTGAAAATGCAATATTTCTATACGTACCTCACATAGAAACAGTAATTAGTTATTTTTTAATTTTAGTTTTACTCTAGCATTTGTGTGATTAAAAGCATATGATTTAACAAGGACAACATGTTTTTGTTACGCCAGTTTACTTAGACATTGTTTTATTCTTCTTCTTTGATGCGTAACATCACGGGACAAGAACAGACGACGAATGAAAGCGTGAGTAAAGCTGTAGAGAGATGAGTAGGAAACAAAAGAAGCCTCAGGCCCTTCAGCAGGGCCTACTTTGCTGTCAAAGACAAAGTCATTTCCACTTTACCCTGTGGGGCCAGCAACATGCAGTGTATCTCTAACAGTCAGACTCACAGACGCATTTTCTTCTCATCTCTAAAACACTCGCTGTCTCTCCTAATCCCAAATGAATCTTCAGTTCAGTTACAGACGAGCCACAGAGCCAAATTAACTTTATTAAGCTTTATATGAGCAGTTCTCTGACTGAAGCCCAGGGACATTCAGAGCTACTGACCCACTCTCACAAAACAAGGAATAGAGCTGAACCTTGTCACTGAGGTAAGAGGTGCAAGTCTGTTGTCTGCTGGGTGCTTAGCTATCTCAACTATCTTTTGCTGGATTATCATAAAAATATTATTTATTATTCAAATATTAGCATGTTGTCCCATATTGTCTAGCGGTTAGGATTCCTGGCTTTTACCCGGGCGGCTTGGGGTTGACTCCCGGTATGGGAACTACATTGGGGTGTATACTTTCTGACTTTGGTGCTATTTGATACCAAAACATTACATAGCTGATACTGGGATAAATGAGCCAGGCGCAACAATCAGACTGCATCAGTTCTCACCTGTTTGGTGTACCAATAAAAACACTAATGCCGTCAGAACTTGAAGTTTGAAAGATGTTATAAAGTCTATAAAGTCAAACTGGAGTCTATTAGCTTTAAACCAGGACACCACTTTAGCACTTAACACAGTTGTGCCAAAGTAAAGCTTCACTGATCTGGTGAAGCCTCTTTTTCACAGTAAAGTTTGATTTATGAATGTATACTTTCTGACTTTGGTGCTATTTGGGTTGACTCCCGGTATGGGAACTACATTGGGGGAGGCGACAGTGCGATGGGTAGAGCAACCGGAAGGTTGAAGGTTTGAATTGCGGTGACTCCAGTCGGTGAAGCCTCTTTTTCACAGTAAAGTTTGATTTATGAATGTATACTTTCTGACTTTGGTGCTATTTGATACCAAAACACTACATAGCTGATACTGGGATAAATGAGCCAGGCGCAACAATCAGACTGCATCAGTTCTCACCTGTTTGGTGTACCAATAAAAACACTAATGCCGTCAGAACTTGAAGTTTGAAAGATGTTATAAAGTCTATAAAGTCAAACTGGAGTCTATTAGCTTTAAACCAGGACACCACTTTTAATTTGAGCATTAGTTAACTTTTCAAAAACAAAACAAGCTACTCATTTACCTAACGAAGCTAATAGTTGATTGACTGGGGAATGAGAGGTTTAGGCTGGGGCGACTAAAGAAATAGAACAGTTGTGTTTGGTGAAATGTTCATATCTGTAGACAATAAATTAACAAGTTAAATAGATTTTATAGGGCACAGTGGATAATAGCTTAGATTTCTTTCTTCCTCCTCCTTTAGGTTTACTCTCCCACGTCAGTGAGAAATGAATAATCAATACCAGTCGAGATGGAGGCAATGGAGCCAGTGTGACTCAGCCATCCTGACTGGACGTGGCCTCTTCTGTTGATCTGGGTTTCTGTCTCCAGTCCTTCTATCCATTTACTGCTACAGGATGCAATTCTGTTTTATGCCATAGTGCTCTGGCAACCTTATGGCGACAGTTTAGGGAAGGCCTGATGTTGACTGGCCTGCACAGAGCTCTGGCCTCAGCCTCATCCAACAGCCCTGAGATGAACTAAGCCAAGATCATA